GGGGAAGGGCTTGCCCACCAGCATGCCTGCACGCACAAACCGACCATTCTGGAACCCACCCCCCAACCATCTCCAGTGGGGGCCTCCACACTCTGGGTCACCGTCCCTAGTTCCCGCAGGGCCAGGTGCCAGACACCCTAGATCAGCCCCTCGGGCCCAGAGCCCCCTGAAATTCTTCCCACTAGCCAGTCCTCAGCCTGTTTGCCCTGCCCACCTGCTCCTTCCCGTGAACCTGCAACAGAGGCTTCTGTTCACACTTTCCCATCACTGACCCCCTCCTCCACATGGCCCACACGTGGCATGGCGTGGCCGTCCTCTTGAGAACTGAGTACGACAGGCTTAGCTGATCCGTGGCAGCCCTCCCCTGATCTGAAGCCTCTCCATTCCTAGTCACAACAAAGCCTACATTTTAAGACATCCCAGTCCTAGGGGATCAGCAGGGACCCCGAGGTCCGCTGGTCTCTGGTTGGCATACTGGAGCATTTTCTGACTTCCAACCCCCACGGAGTAGGAGGGGAGCCCCCACTGGCTGGCCAGCTCTCAGAAGTCAGTGGGTGAGACCTGGAAATCACAGGCGTGCTAGGCCCCTGGTAGGTGCTCTACAGTGTCCATCCTACCCCCACTGGGGGGCCCCTGGGCCCCTCCTCCAGACCACTCCCCTCCAGCCCCCCTCCCCTTCCTGTCCCGTCCCAGAGCACTCCACAAGCGGCCATAAGATGAGGAAATGTCCCTACCAGTGGCTGCGCCTCCCATTTGTCCCTTCCCTTTCTTAGTGATGAAGAATCTGCAACCCCAGAACAATTTGGGGATCCCTAGGGATCAGGGTGCCACCCAGGTGTGTGCCCTGCCTGCTCCCTCCCTGCCCCCCCCCCCTCCCCCCCCCCCCCCCCCCCCCCGCCCCCCCGCCCCCCCGCTGCTGCCACACACAATATGCATGCGCCTTCCTGTCCCCTCCCTCTGGATGCATCCCCGAGGAAGGGGGGAGGGGATGTCCAATGCCCTTGAGCCTTTCTGCTCTTGTTTTTAAACACGTTCCATGTTTCTCGATGCTGCGAGCCCCAGGCTGACTTGAGAAGCAGTCCCAAAGCACCAGTGTGACAACAGCACGCCAGCGGTGACCAAGACCGCCACACTGGCCCGGGGCTTGCTGCGCGCCAGGCGCTGAGCCCATGCTTTTCCACAGTGGCCCGACTGTCTGCCTCGTGCGCACCAAGGGCAGGCCACTGGTCCATGTGCTCTCCTGCAGCCCCCGCAGGACGTCAATGGAGCACAACCCCCCCTCACTGTGGGGTGTCTTTTCCGCAAGATAGACACTCTTTTCGCTCAACTAATCCTTCATTCATTTCTCCATTTGTTGAATGCCCACTGTGGGGGGTGGAGGCGGATGCAGACACACGAGGAAGAAGCAGTCAGAACCCTCACCTCGCTGCAGCCACTGGATATCGGGGTGGATGTGAAGCAGTAACCCCACTAATACATGTGCAACCAGAGACCGTGGGAGCTGTGAGGAATGATGCTGCCCTCTGGTTGCAGCATGCTAGGACCCTGGAACCACGTTCCCTGAGGAAACCCGAGGCCAGGACTTAGGTGGATGACTCCCCATCCCCCATCATCTTGAACCCACAGTGTCCAGCAGACACTCCCTTCACTGGCGACGCAGAAGAGGGTTGCTGGTGCAGGGAACATTCTGGAAACTTGTGTGGTGGCTGCTTTTCGTAGGTGGGAGCTGAGAATACAGCTGTCAGCACAGATCTTGGGTCCCCGAATTCCATGGGGATGTGGGACCCCAGGCTGCAGAGTCTGGATGGCAGCTGGCACTCTCCAGAGACCCGTCGGCCTGGCACATTTTGTGGGAAGCCAGTTTCAGCCGTGGTCATGGTGGTAGAGCCCACAGGGGTATGCAGCACTGATAGCAGCATCCCCAGTACTGGAATAGGGGACCGCCCCCTGAAGTCACAGCTCCACCCCCACAAAGCAAGCATACTCCAGGCCTGGTGGGTACAGTGATGGGGCGGCTACCTCCCCAGAGTAATTAGGACCCTTCCCGGTTCCTAGACCTGGATGAGTCACCATCCTAGAGCCCCTGGTACCCTGCGGTGTTGCATCCCCTCAAGGCCCAGTGCTGACCCGAATCCATAATGCAGATTTCCTCCTAAGCTGCCCCACACATACATGCAGCAGAGATGTGCACCAGGGAGAGGAAAACCCTCGCTCCAGGGCTTCCACGGACATGGGCTTGCACCCAAGGCAGATTCCCGGGGACCCCGGTGCCAGCTCCCGGTAAAGTCCTCTCGAGGATGAGCAGCAGGCGGTCAGCACCCCACCAACCCTCCTCCCCCCACCCCACGGCCCCACACAGACCTCGCCTCCTGCTGGGACCACGTGAGAAATGTGTGCGCGCCTGCACAGTTGGCTGAGGCGCATTTCCATGACTCTGACCCGGGACAAGAGCGGGAAGGAAGTGTTTGCCTGCTGAGCGCTCCCAGAGGAAACTCCTGAGCAGTCTGGGCAGTGCCAACATCAGAGCCTGGGCCAAGGAGGGGGATTCCAGCCCCCGGCTCCTCCGAGAAGGGCCAGATGACACCTCAGACATCAGGAGACCGTCAGCCCGGAGTGTGCCCTGTCCGGCTGGCTGGAACTCTGTCCCTCCTCCGGCAAACGGGCTGATGCCTGCGGGCCCTTCTGCTGGCCTCGAGGGCAGGAGGGCCGCCAGCCCGCGCAGGAGAACTTTGAAAGCTGGTGGGCAGTATCGCGGCTTCGCAGGTGGACAGGTGTGGACAGTTCCAGATCCAGAGAACGAAAAGGTTAATGTCACTGCCACGTGCTCCCAGTGTCAGGAATGGCCCCAGGGCCTCGTCCCCGTCCCTGAGACCACAGCTCTGGGGGCCTGTGTGCGCTCGTGTGCGTGTGTGTTTGTGTGCGTGTGTTTAGGCAAATGGGGAAGAATCGCTTCATAATAAGGCAAAAGCTGATTATATTCATTTAATCTTTGTTAAAAGCATCACAAATGATTTATTGATTTTTAAAAAGGAAACATAAGAAAGGATTTTTCGCGTCTTTGTTATGTGCATATACCAAGTATGGGCATAGCCCGTTCGAATGAAGCGCCGGCTGCCTGTGCAGACCGCGCTGTGTCCCCAGCGCCTCGTACACCCGCCCGCAGCCGTGCAGCACCTCAAGTGTGTACCCCGCTCCCCCACAGACCTACACGCTCATCTCTACGGCCATGGGCATGGACACACATAAGGTTATGTCAGATGCCGCCTGATTCCCGGACTCTTGGGTCCACACGCTCAAAATACTCTTCGTAGAAATAATAAAATACCAGAAAAACACAAATAACTAAGGGGGAAGAACAACCACAACCCTACCCGAGCAGGAGAGAGAACGAAGTTGAGTGGTCAAAGAAGGTCAAGGGGTTGTCACCCGCAGGCACTGGTGAGCTGGGGGGTGGGGAGCTGTGGCCAGGGGACTCCATGCTGACCTTGACCTTGGACCTGGGTGGTGCTGACAGGTGTCTGACCCTGTGCGTCTGATGCTCATGGGGCAGGCGGGGTGGGGGTGGACAGCAGGACACTGGGCTCCCGAAGTTCTCTTTGGAGGCTGCTAACAGGCTGGAAGGAGGTGGTGCAAAAGTCCAGAGAATCCCGGCCTCTTCCCACAGTGACCACACCTGCAACTTGTCCCCGGGTCCTCAGGCCCCAGCCCTTCTCTTGAGGGTCTTGAGAACAACCTAGAGGGTAACTTCTGGAGTGGGGCCCGGGAGTGCCAGCTGGTGAGCAGGGGGCCTCCTCCACCTGGCGGGTGACGTGCTGTGACCCCTTCCTCCCCACGGGCTCAGAGTCCCTATCTGTAACACACAAAGACAAGTGACCCCTGCGTGCGGGGTGGGGGGGCTGTTGCGGGTGTGAGGGTGCGTCCCTGGGCCTCCCCTCCCGCAGGCCATGGTCCTCTTCTAGGAGACATGGGGCAGTGCCCTGCTAGGCTTCATTCTGGACTCACTAGGAGCCCGGGAGCACCTAGCCTGGGCTCTGGTGTCCCCATCCCCTAAGGAAAGGCTCTGGGCCAGGGAGAGCCCTGCTGGGAGGGGAGAGGAGGAGGGGTAGAGGGAGGACAAGGAGGGAAGAGGGACAGGGAGAGGCAGAGGGGTGGAGGGAGGGAGAATACTGACTTCCGGTTTCAAGGCAAAAGGTGAACCCCCCCCATATATTCACATGTGTAGACTGAGGCTAGTGTCCCTGATTCTAGGCATCTGTGAGTGAGTGGACTCCCTGCACGGGGGGCAGGGGCAGGGCTGGTCCCTGGGGCACCTCGGCGGCCGTGGTGTTGCTGTATGACTTAGGGAAAGTCACTCCCTCTCTGGGCCTCAATTTCTCCACCTTCAGAAGGAGGGGCACACTCCTGGAGGGCCCTTCTGCTCTGCCATCCCAAACCGTGGCTGCTCCCTGGGCTCCCACCCAGGTTCTTCCAACTGCTGGGAAGCATGGGACCCTTGGTGCCCCTGGGGTGGGGGTACTCCCTCCATGCCTGTGGGGAGGAGGAGACCTGGTGGGTGGGCAGGGAGCCTGGGGAGCGTGAAGGGGGGGCCGGGGGGACAAAGCTGAGAGAGTGTTGGCCCCTCTGGGCCCTGGGCTAGGAAAGGAGCCTGGAGAAGCAGAGGAGCAGCGCTGTGCCCTCCAGGAAGGATCCCCAAGCAGGGGGCTCTGAGAAAGCAACGCAGATGGCTACTGCCTGGCCGTTGAGACTAGAAAGGGGAGCAAACCCCCAAAACGCAAACAGCTACCTAGAGAGGTATTTACGTCACCTGCAGTTTACAAAGAGGCGGAAAGAGGGAGGCATGGAGGGCTGTTTCAGAGAGCCTGGGGCAGGGGTGGGGGGCCTGGGGCAGAGGCTTTCTGGATTCAGGGGGACACCCCAGGAAGGAGGCCATGCAGGGTAGGAGCCGCCCTCCCCGGGGTGATGGGGAAGAAAGCAGGGCTCCTGCCCGGGTGCTAGGACAGGGCCTACAGGGCCGCCTGAGGGGCTCACCTCCCCCTAGGGAGGCCAGGCCTCGGGCTGGGACAATGGGCATCAGCAGCCGGTGGTCCACAGGGGCTAGGGCAGAGACCAGCCCAGAGCGGGGTGGGGAGAGCGAGAGGCGCCCTGGGCCTGGTATCCAGGGGATGGGGGCGGGGAAGGGGTCCGCAGGCCCCTCCCCGTGCGTCTTGTGGGCTGGGCGGTCGTGAGCTGAAGAGGGGACGTCTGTCCCCCGTGCCTGGGGACAGCTGGAGGAGGTGGTGCTTCCGCAGGTCTCCGAGGGGACGCGGGTCCGGGCACCGGTGCCCTCCGGGGCTGAGACGGCGCAGAGGCGAGTGTCCGGGGCGCGGCGTCGGGGACATCAGCTCACCAGGTAGCTGTGCATCTCTCGGGAGTTGATACTCAGGACCACGCCGGAGTGATTCCCTGGGAGACAGACACGCCCGCCCGTGAGCACACGTGACCCCCACCACCGCAGACGGCTTGGGGACCCAGGGTGGCGTCAGCAGCGCCCGCAGCCAACCTGGGGGGAATCCCCGCGCGTCAGCGGGTCCTTCAGGTGTGCGGGGTGGGGGGTGGTTCCCGAGCGCGCTGGGGGTGTCGGGGTCTCCCTCTCCTGGGCGCGTGATAGGGTGGGTTCTCCCGGTGCCCTCCCGAGCCCTGCACCCCAGCAGGCCTCAGGAGGTGAGGCCAAGGCCAGCAGATAGTCACCTGCACCATAGCAGGGAGGGCAGGGGGCTGCGGGAGGGGCTTGGGGGGAGGGGCTTGGGAGAGAAGGGGGGAAGGGATTGCGGGGGGAGGGGCTGTGGGAGGGGCTGCGTGGCGGGAGGGGCTGCGTGGGGGCGGGGCGCTGCCGGAACACTCCAGGGGAGGCCTGGTCCTGGGAGGGGACAGCCTCAGGAGACCAGGGGACTGAGGCCTGGCCCGCTGGGGGAGGGGAGGAGGCTGACCCGGAGTGGTGTCTGCGCGCTGCCTACCCCCAGCCCAGGGGCACCAGGAGAAGGCGGCCCACAGTTCTGTGGCAGCTGCCCAGCTGCAGCATTCCCGACCCTCGAGCCCAACCAGTTGGGTGAGACCCTTGTCAAGGTCCATCACCCTGTGGCCTTGGTTTTGTAATCTGGGACGTGGGCATGGCTGTGCCGCCCTCTGCGGACCGCATGGGGATTACATGGGAAAAAGCACCTGGCGCATACTAAGTATGCCATAAAAACAACCTGTTATTATGCCCTCATTGTCTTTCAGGAGCCTGATAGCAAAGAGGGGCCACAGGCAGGAGAGCCAAGCTGGGTTCTTCCGGGGACACCCCGCCCTCCGCCCGAGCTTGGGAGGCCCCGGGTCCCCCTGGGAGCCTCTGTAGCTGGTCATGGGGCTGTGATACCACCTGCATGAAGGCAGGGACCGGGTTATGTGGGAGGCAGCGGGGAGCCCCAAGTAGGGGAGGGTGGTTGAGGGGGCCTTTGGGGTGCACAGGGATCGCACCACAAGCCTAGGAGCTGCAGTGTTGGGGAGGGCACAGGCTTTGGAACTGCAGAGCTGGGCTTGAACCTGGCTCTGATCAGCTAAGGGAGATGGCAGGCTGCGTGACCACTCTGAACCTCGGGTTTCTCATCTGTCCAGTGACCTGGCTTCTGGCAGCCCCTCAGCCCAAGGACCGGCATGCAGCCCAGGCTAAGGACGTCAGAGTGGCTGCCATGTCCCAAGAGGGAACAGAGGCACCACCCCCCGGGGAGTGTGACAGGCCTGGCAGGTGTGGGAGATGAGGGCCGTTGTGCCACGGGGCACTAGTGGTAACTGGGAGGGCCAGAGGGAGCACATGCGCTCAGGGATCCCAGTCCCTCCCCACCAATGGGGCGACCTTATCTCCTTGCACCTGGGTGTCCTCGCCTCTGGAAAGGAGCCTGCCTCCCAGTCTGGCCGATGTGGGACAATCCACGAGATGCTCACCGCACCCCCCCACCCCGAAGCTGAGCAGAGCCACGGCCCCGTCAGCACAAACTCCAAGAGAGCTTGGAGGTCCAGGAAGCTCCCAGAGCCTCAGTTCCCCCTACTGGGGACGTGTTGTGCTCCTTATACAGTGTGGCCTGGGCCCTCCTCGCCGCAGGTACAGACCATGTCCTCTCCCCTGAAGAGGGACAGACTCTGTGCTCACCTCCACCCACCTAGCGTGACACAAGTGACAGTGGTGACGGTCATGGAGGGTGACATGGCCACCACCTAGCTGGCTGACTAACTAGGGGCTCCGAGGACATCGCCGCTACTCTATGTGGAGCCCAAGCCACATGGAGAGGCCACAGCAGATGTTTGCAGGGACAACCCCATGGGGGGCACTGCTGACCACTGAGCCAATAGCCCAGGCTGAGCGCGGAAGCCCAGAGGGGACTCAAGCCACTGTCAGTGCCACCTCAAGAGAGATGTGGGGGAGATGCGCTGGGCCACGCAGGCAGACCACGGTAACAGGGCACCATGTTAGGGTGGTAGACACGTGCTCACACAGTCATCTCTTCCAGTGACCAGGACGCCTTCCCCCGGTGGGGGTAGCTGGACGGGGTGCTCCGGGGCCACATGTCCCCAGGCCCAGATCGAAGCTCCGGTCATTCCCCCATCAGACGGAGGGGACACAGCGCCACCATCTGCCTGGGCTTCGTCCTCGCCCTCAGCTGGCCAGTGCTGGCCGGCGGGACCCACAGGAGGGTGGGGAGGGGGTTTTCAGGGCGGGCGGGCGTTACCTAGAGTCTGCGAGTCGAGATCATCATCTATAAACTCCTCACCCTGGATGGCGCTCTGGACGGCCTGGCTGTGGCTCACGGGGCTCGTCATTTCCTGCTCCTTTTCATTGTGCATCTGGGCATACACGGTCCTCCCGGGGCGTTTCCTGCTGGGTGGAGGCCGGGCTCAGGGGAGGCTGCCTGGGGCCACTGGGCCCTGGACCACTCCTGTGCACAGGGCAGACAGCGCTCCTGGATCTGCTCTCCTGCCCCATCTTTGCTCCAGACCACTTCCTCTAGGAAGCCCTCCCTCCTGCACGCTCCTGTAGCCCCGGGGTTTCCCTCAGCCCCGGGGCACAAGTGTGCATCGTGTGGCTCCCACGGGGACTGGACTGAGGTCATATTGCAGGGAGGGGGTGTTTCACTGTCCTTTAGTCCCTGTCATCCAGCATCTGTGGGAGAGCAGTGTCCCGGGCTCTGAACGGGTGGGAGGGACATGGATTCCCGGGGCAGACGGGATGCTCACCCGGGTCCGAGAGGGACTTGCTGAGTCCTACCCAGGTCCTGGGGCTGTGCGGTCTCGAATTCCTGTCCCTCCAGAGCCAGAGGGAGAAGAGACCGTGGGCACAGCCCCCTCTGCCTGTGCTGGGACTGGGCTTGGGGCCCCTGGGGTCCGGTTTCCCCGCTTCCGATGCCTAGTTAGTCTGAAACCCGGAAAGACCCCACGGTTGCCGAGAAGGAGCAGGCTTCCTCCGACGCCGTTCACCAGGCCCTGCCCGCCCTGCGCGCAGACGGCTGAGGGTGACCAAAGGGGACACAGGTCACCTCCGGCTGGAACATGCACGGAATGACTTGTCACCTCCAGAACTCACTTCCCTCTGCTGTGGCTCCTGTACCCTGGAAACCCCTGCCCCTGAGGGATGATGAGAGCCTTGGGTGAGCCTCGGAGCCCCTGGGGCTGTTTGTGACATTGGCTGAGCCCCACCCACAGGGACAGCTCCAAGACCAGTGACCGCCCAACACTCTGGGGGTGCACACGTACCCCGATCTGTGCTGTGCTGTTTCTATGGCGACACCCTCCCCTCCTGAGGGAGCCCAATCAGTTCACTAATAACACTCACCATGCCAGGCAGCAGACCAGCACGAACACCCTCACCCCTGTCCGGGGCACCTTTGGGGCCCACTCAGCGTCCTCCCTTTCCTCCTCCCCCTTCTCCCCTCTCTGCTCCTCCCTCCTCTCCTCTCCTCCTCCTCCCTTTCCTTCTGTTCTTTTCCTCCTTCCCTTTTCCCACCCCCTTCTTCTTAGTCCCCTTTTACAGATGGGGAAGCGGAGGCCCAGGGCGGGGACAGCCACGGAGCTGGTCAGCGGCAGGGCAGGAGCTGGGCCCTGGGCACTGTGCTGGCCCGTCCCGCGGTCTAGAGGGGCCTTGCATGCAGGCTGAAGGAAGGGTACTCTGGGACAGAGACCCAGACAGGGCAGATATGGCTGGAAGCCTCTCCTTTTTTGTTTCATCTCTGCAAATATCCAGGATGCCAGGCTCTCCCACACACTTGCATGATATGGGAGGGGCTGGCTGGATGCTTGCCCTTAACACCTCAGGGAGACCCGGTGCACCAATTCCACAGGGCGGGAAACCAAGGCTCTAAAACAAGTCCCACTTAGCAAGGCCACACTCCCGCGGCCCTGAGGGAACCTGTTGGAACAGTGTGAAGCAGTAAGAAGGGAGTGGGGTGGGGAGCAGGGGCGCCCCTTCTCGAAGGGTCAAGTGCATCTCTCATCCATCTGAAGACCTGGCCGTTCAGGGGGTCCCGGAAGGGGTCTGCCCAGCCTGGGGTGAGCAGCAGAGTGGACACCCGTGGTTAAAGTCCTGGGCTCTGTCCATACCAGCTGGAACCTGATGCTGTTTTGGGGTTGGGACGAGGGCCCCAGCTTCAGCACCGGGGATCCTAGTCTTAGATGCCACTTCCTAGCCGTGACAAATCCCACTTTCCGAGGGGCCTTCCTCCAAGGCAGGGTGGACCCGGGGGAGATAAGGCCGCGATGCTGGCAGAGAGGAAGGTGAGATTGGAAGATGCTTGTGGGGTCCAAAGCAGCTGTCTCCCACCTGCTTCTGGGGCCGGGACCATTCTGTTTCTGCAAGTCCCCGCCCCTTGCCGCCACTGCCCAAGGCCTGACCTCGCGCCCGGCCTGCCAGGAGGCCTTGCCTTTTGAACTTGTAGAGAATGAACACGCCCACCGCGAAGAGTCCGATGACCAAGAGGACCGCCACTGCCCAGTAGCCACCAGCGCCTCCCAGCCTCTGAGAACCTGTAAGGGAAGCAGCTGGTGGTCGGGGTGGGGGGCATCCCTCCCCAACCCCGGGCTCCTAGCACAGGGGATGGTCTGGCAGGCTCTCCAGGTGTGGCCGAGCTGTGCAGGCAGGTCTCAGGGGAACCTCAGCCCCTGGGCCCCCTGGACTCCCACCGTGTACCCGTGGGCCCCGGGCCTTCCTTCTAGAAGGTAGACAGAATGTCCCTGTGCACAAGTCTGCTCGCATGCGGTGAACCCGCCACGTTTCCCCACGGGCACCAGGTCTCCAGAGCAGAGGGAAAGTCCTCAGCATCTGCAAACATTCTTGCCCAAAACAGGAAAGGCTGCACATGTGACTGGAGAGGACAGTCCCACGGTGAGGGCAGGAGGCCAAGGTCAAGTCTCTGAATGTCTGCATGAGGGAAGCCAGAGCTCTGTGCCACCTCTGCGCAGAGAGCAAGGCCCTTGGGTCTGACCTGGTGGTCACTGGAGGCAACCACCCAGCCCCGAGGGGCCCCCTGTCCCCAGTCCCCGCAGGAAGAGTGTCACCTGTGAAGCCAGTTGCATGCCCACCCTACCCTGCAGGGGAGAGCCCGTTACCTGCGTCTGTGTCCCTCATGGCCACCAGGACCCGGACCCCGCCCCGCAGAAGGAAGCTGATCTTCTGTGCCTTCAGCACCTGCTGGATGGCGGTGAGTCTCTGAAAGCAGGAGGGGGAGAGTGAGGAGGGTCTGCTGGAACCCACTGGAGGGAGCGGAGAGCTGGGCAAACATCCCCTCTGACCCTCAAGAGCCAAGGGGTTGGGGGCCTCTCGGCCTCCTTGGGTCTCAATCTCCTCATCTGCAACATGGGAATGCTCGCCCACCAGCCAGCTTTCACCAACAGCTGACAATGGGTTAGAAAGGCGACCCAGCTGGGGACTAAAGCCTCTTATTTTGGTCGGGACTAGAGTGTGGCAAAGCTGGGGAAACCAGGGGTGCTCCAGGAGGGCCCCCAGGCCTGGCAGTGGTCCGGGAAGCTTCTCAGAGGAGGAGGACCAAGAAGGGAGCAAGATGGGGACAGGCTAGGTGACCCAGGCAAGGGAGTGACCCCACCAGTCAAGGAGAGCCAGCCCAGGGGGTGGCGGGGCTGGACCACGGGGTGGGAGAGGGAGCTGGCTTGCCGTCTCACGAGAGGGAGCTTTCCCGGGGCTCAGAAGGGAACCGACTGGCCCTTGTAGGTGCCCTGGGGTCATTCCTCTGCACAGGCAGATGTTGTAGGCCTTGGGGAAGGGGGTCTCCCAAGAGCTGTTGGTCCCCGAGCACCCACCCGGGTGCCTTGGGCAGGACATTCCCAGGGGCCAGACTCAGCCTCCATGTACAGCATTTTAGCACCTGGCATTCCCTGGAAAACAGTCCACATCCAGGCCCGGACAAGCCAGAACAGCCCAGATTTGGCAGATCTAGGAAGGCACACAGCTCTGTGCTGCGGGGAACCCCAGCACCTCTTTGTTTCAGGGGTCCATGTGAGGCTTCAAAGGAACACCTCGTGGGAGGCCTCCAGCCCCGTGCCCAGTACCTGGCACCCAGCAAGGGCCAAGGGCCTGCCGTGTTGTCCGTGGCCAGGACAAGTCCCTGTGACTTTTCACCGACCTTGGGCGGGAGGTTTACTCTCAGCACTCAGGACAACGAGGGTGGGGGCGCCCGTCTGTCCCCTCCTTCGCCTCCTTCCAAATCTCTCCTGAGCACCCACACCTGACTACTGCAGAATCAGTTCATCTGCCCACCAACTTGGGGGGCAAGAGCGAGGGGAGTCCCCGAGCCCTGCCCTGCCTTCCCCAAGCAGTGCCGAGCCTCTGCAGTCAGCTCCCCATCTGAGAAATGGGTACAGTCACTTTCCATCGTCTGCCGTCCCACTCCCAGAGACACTGCATCAGCAGGGACCCCTGGTCCCAGTGTAGATGCCCTTCAGGAAATGCTGGGCGTCAGGCCCAGGCAGTCATGTGTCAACAAGGAGGCAGCCTGGGTGTGGCAGGGCGGCAGCCAGAGAGACCTTGGAGCTCTGTGTCCCCTCTGACCTTCCTGATGCACCTCCCACCAAGCTGTAGAAGGAGACACGCCTGCCCAGCCCCCGAGGTGCCGCAGGCCTTGCTCTGTCTTCTAGACGGCCTCCTGGAGCATCTGTCTCAGACTAGTCGGGAGAAGCTGAGCTCCTGACTCTTTTTTTTTTTTTTTTGAGATAACACGTATTTCCTTCAAGTGCACAATTCTACCGTTTTTGGTCTATTTGCATCTGTGCAACTATCACTGCTGATTCCAGAACATCTTCATCCTTCCTTCCAGAAACCGGGTGCCTGCCAGCAGCCCCACCCCCTGGCCCCCAGCAACCACCTCCACCTTCTGCCCCCGGGCCTTGGCCCAATAAGGACATTTCCCATCCACTCGCTCGCGCAGCAGGTGGCCTCTGACCAGCTTCCCTCCCTCAGCACCTCTTCTGCGGGGTTTGTCCAGATGGTAGCAGGTATCAAAGCTCCCTCTTCTTCATGGCCGAGTAAGAGCCCGTGGTATGCGGGGACGCATCTCATCCAACAAGGCCTGTGGAGGCACATGTGGCCACCGCGGGCTGCAGTGACCCTCCCTGTGTGCGTGCATGTGGACGGACAGCCGCGCGCTCCCATGTCCGTGCCGTCTGCTAACTCTGCCTGTGGTTTCGGGGAGCAGCTGACCGCAGGCTCAGCCGCGCAGGAGGGGTCCTGGTTCTGCATGTGACCTAGAGTGCCGTCGGTTTCGGGAAGAGTGACAGCCATCCCTGGGGTCATGAAGAAGCTCCAGCTTCTCTTGGGGTCTCCACCCCATGCCTGGCCTGGCCCTCCAGGTGAGGGCTATTACTCGGAGGCTGAGACACGCAGTGAAGATGTGTGCAGACTGGATGGAGGCTGAGTTCTGCTCAGTCCTGAGACCTGCGCCATGGGAGTCCATGGTTCTCCCTGTCAGCCTGGGCCACGGTGACCAGCACCAGCCAGCAGAATGGGAAAGGAGATGGCGCATGTCCCCCTGTGGGGCAGTCTGGCCCCGGGTGCCCTTATGCCTCCCCAGTCCCCAAAAGTGAGCTTGAAGGCCATCTGGGTCCCAGGGAGGGGGTTAGCCACCCATGGAGGAGGGCCAGCCGCCTGTGTCGGGCAGTGACTTGCAAGAAATGGGCCTCTCCGTGATGATGAGCCACTGAGACTTCTCCCCTAAACTCCCAGCACTAGGCCTCAAACCCTGGTCAGTGCAGAGAGAATCTGGGGCCCATGGCCGCAGGGATACCTTGTCACTGGTGGGGCTCCTCTTCCTCGTGGGCCTGGGAGGGGGCAGGAGCACATGCAGGTCAGCCAAGGTGGGCAGTCCTGGCTTTACCACCGTCACCAGGAGCTCCTCAGGGATGCTGGTCTCCTGTGGGGACACAGACGCGCCCCTCTGAGCCACCTGCCTTCTCTGTCCCCTGCCGCACTCCGGGGCCCCCAGGAATACCCTCTCGCTCATCTTGGCCTGGCCAAGTCCCAGCTGTCTGTCCTGTGAGCTATTCCTGACCCCTGAACATATGGGGACAGCCCCAGGACCCTGAAGCACCACGTTTCCCCTCCTGCAGCTCTCCTGGTCCCTCTGTCCTGCCCCCACCAACACCAGCCTCCTCTGGGCCAGGCCTGCCCCCTCTAGTCCATTCCTCACACCATGGCCGGGGTAAAGGTGAGCAGGCCCCTCTCTGGCTAACGTCGTCCCAGACATCAGGGCTCCTGACCATAAAAATCCTTCAACCCACGGAGTTCAGCTTCCGGAGGTCCCTCTGCCTCCTGAGAATCCCACTCCATGCACTTTCATCTAGTGAACTCCTATTCACTCTTCAATGCCCAGGATGGTATCACCAGCATTATTAAGAGACTGAGGGGAGTCACAGCCAGAGCAAGCCTTGGCCTCTGGCAGCAGAGATGACTCAGAGTGGGCAGAGCTCACAGAGATACCTTGGTCCCGCAGCGAAAGAAAGACCAGCCCCCTCACTCTGCCTTGCCCTCCCACCCCCCACTTCTCCTGGGTACCCGTGGGGGCGGGGGGCACCTTGGACAGCAGCCGCGTCACCACCAGGCCAACGTCCTCTCTCCACTCAGGGGTGTTGGGATTGTGGGCATCCAGCTCCTTGGAAAAGTGTAGAGCCACCACCTGGAACTGATCTGAAGAGATGCAGAGATGGGGAGCCAGTTAGCCCTGGGCAGCGCGGCTCTGTTTCCCGGCAACTGCCAGCCCCGGATGGCCTAGGACAGCCCAGGGTCAGACATGGCAGCTCGCTTTTGGAATATGAGAGTCCTCCCTGTGCCGGCAGCTGCCCAGGCAGGGCCCACCTCACTGACTGGCACCAAGGAGTGATCACTGCAGCACAGATGACTGCTGAACGGTGCCCCCTGGGGAGGGAGGGCTGAGCGCCTGCACCGTGAGATCTGCCCTTTCGTTCTCAGGGAGGCACATACCCCATGAGACTGGGCTTCCGTCCACCAGGGATCCTCGGACTTCACTGGGCTGGTCTCCCCACCAGAATAAGAGTCCTGCGAGGGCCAAGGCCCTACCTTCCCTTTCCCGCACATGTCCCGGGGTTCCTGGCTCAGAGGCCCACTCCAGAGCCACCTGCTAGTGGTGGTACTTGGGGCTCACTGTACTCTCCATGTGCCTCCTGAAACCCGGGTTTCCCACTTGGGAAACGGGAGAGGCTTTGCTGGGATTAATGGCCCAAGGGACACGTGCTTTGTGAGCAGAACTCAGCATCTCACAGCGGGAGGGGGTGCTATTCCCGAGCTCTGGGCTCAGGACCCTCTGCGCACGTGTTTGTGAATGAAGGAACAGCCATGGCAGGCCTGCTAAATATTTAACTGATGGCTGCTGTCCATGCGCGAGGCTGTTCTCAAAGCCACATGAGGTTTCATTGGTGGGCTGAGGGGTGGGGTCTCTTCCATGCTTAGGATGAATTTCCTATGGTAAATGTCTCCCTTGAGGGTCTGGGGACCCCCAGTGAGCACAGAAAATGGGGTACAGATTCAGAACTGAGTCCCCACAAAGGCTGTGTTAGGGGGCTCAGGTGACAGGTGGCAGGAGAGGTCAGGCTCCTGGGAGGCATCACCCAGTACCCTCGACAGGTCACTCAGCCATCCCCTGGTCTGTGCTGTGTGAGGCCCATGAGTGCCACAGACTCAGAGACGTGTCTGTGTTCATTTTACAGACGGGGGAAACTGAGGCCCAGGGAGCCGGGGAGCGTCTGAGCAGTGTTCACTGGCTCCTCCCTGAGCCTGTGGCTGCCCCGCATACGCAGGGCGTCTGTGGCTTACATCACCTGAGCTTGGGGCCCCCACAAGGGACAAGACACACGGCATGCCCGAGGAGGGGGCTCACCCAGCACGCGGACCACCGTGGAGTCCTGCAGCACCGAGCTTCCACAGGCCGCCTGCACCGTCACGCGCACGTCCCCTGGGTCTGCAAACCGCGTGGTCACGGAGTTCTCCAAGGAGAGCAAGGGCTGCAGGGGACGTGAGTGGGGGTCAGGCCCGGGGGTCAGGGGGCAGCCCCACACAGGACAGCCGGCCACCCCACTGCCTAGGGCCTCACCGAGAATGCTCAGACTCCCCTGCTCTGGTCAGAACGTGGGGGCACCCCCACCCCCAGCCACCAGCTCTAAGCCAATGCAGCCTGGACCAAGTGTCCCAGTGTACCCTTCCTTCCAGACCTGCCCGAATTGCTGGGCTCAAAGTAGCTGAGCTGTGATTTGAATCCAGAGCCTGGCACCTTCCTCAACCCTCCACATACAAACGACCCGCGGCCGGGCCCCCCCCCCCCCCCCCCCCCCCAGGCCTCTGCGTCTGGGCCTTTAGCCACTGCTGGGGTCATTCTGCATGAACGCAGGGCAGCAGCCCTCCAAATGAGAGGACAGCCCTCTATGGGTCTTGAGGACCTCAGGCTAAGGATGGGCAGCTCTGCCCACAGAGACCAACTAGGCCTCCAACCGGCCATTGTCTGTGGCTCCCCACTGCTTCCAGACACAATTTAGGGCTCTGGGTGAGGCCTCTGACATCCGGTCCAGCCCCAAGGGTCCCCTCCTCCATGAAGCCTTCCCTGACCACACCCAACACCCAGACTAGAAACGGCCGATCTTCCCTGGCACTCACAGCAGCCCCCCAGTCCCCTTCCCGTGATCCTCATCACAGCTCAGGTCACCTGCTTTGTTTACATCTCTTTCCCCAGGAAAAGGCAGGGGCCAGCCTGCCTTCTTCCGCAGCTGCCGGATGCAGACATGGCCAGACCCGCTCAGCGGCTCCGGGAGAAAGGCCAGGCTGTGCTCGTGTCAGCTCCACAGAGTCATGCCCTGTGTCCTTCTACCCCGGCCCCCCGCTCTCAGCAGGGGCCGCCCTGGGGGTCCGCGCACCTGCAGGCTATGGCCGATCCACCAGTAGAACACAGTGAGCTTGGGGTTCAGGGGCAGCAGCACAGCCGTGAGGTTCACCTCCTGGTCGACGCCGACCACAGGAACCACGTCAAGGTGGAGGGCCTGGAGGGGGGCTGCAGGTCGCGGGAAAGCCCGGGGTTAGGGGACACCGAGGCCCTGGCTATTTCAGAGGGGGCTTCTTGGTCACCTTCATCACTTCCTCCCTCATCACCCCCACCCTACCACCGCACACACCGCCAAGGGCATGGACTTGAGCCTGCCTGCTCCCCGTCCACGGGCTCGCCAGACTGGGGTCCTGTTGCCACCCCAGAGGACTCCCTGCGTGCCCCTGGGGCCCAGGTTCTCTCTCTGCCCCGGGAAAGGGGGACTCTGGGCCTCAAAGGGGCTGCTGACTTACAGTTGACCTGGACAAAGAGCACGGCCTCGTCATGCCCAGCCACGTTCTCCGCCCTGACAGACACGCGGTAGACACCGGGGCTCTCGTAGCGGTGCCGGATGGGGTCCTCAGTCAGCGTCAGGTTCGTGTACACGGCCTTGAAGCCATCCCCCAGGTCCACCTGGTACTTGGTGGTTAGGACGTCACCCTGCAGGAAATCCCGCAAGGCCACTCGGAAGGATGGCACAGCCAAGGGGTCAGCAGCAGCTTGCATCCTCTCCATCCCGTCCCTCCTCCCCTCAAAGGGCGCGGGTCCTGGGGGCCCCAGAGCTACACCTGCCACCTGGCATGGGCTGAGGCGCAGGAAATCCAGGGAAGGAAACAGAAACAGTATCTTTCTCCACTTGGTGTCAAGAAAGAGTTCTCGCACTTTACCTCTGCCCCCTCCCCTGCCCCATCACCCCTTCCTGCCATCCTACCCCTGCAGGAACACCCCCAAAATCATCTCCTGCTGACCCAGAGTGACACAGGATTCACGCTGACTGCTTATGATCCCCTCATTCTACGCCTGTGGAGCCTTGAAATCTTTCCCATAAATTACATTCACTCAACTTGTTCCACAAATACGGTGGCTGGTTGAACAGGGTCTATGCTCCCAAATCCACATCCCCCGGGGGAGCTCAGAATGGGACCTTATTCGGAAATAGGGTCTTTGTAGAAGCGATTAGTTAAGGTGAGGTCACGCTGAAGTAAGACGGGCCCCCAGCCAGTGGCCACATCTTTACAAGCAGAGGTGGGGGCTTGGGACCCAGATGAGACGGCCACATGATGACGGGACGGGGGAGAGTCCGTGGAGACAGAGCCACAGCCAGGGACACCAGCACCCCAGAAACCAATGAGGCAGGGAAGAATCCCTCCCCAGAGCCTCCAGTGGGAGCCCAGCTCTGTCTATGCCTTGATTTCGGGCTTCCAGCCTTTGAAACTGGGAGAGAAGCCCATGGGGTTTTGTGCCTGCAGCACACGTGACTTGGGACAACAGCTTATGTGCCATCCGATTGTTCCCATGTGCTGGGCAAGAACCGCGGGGCAGATCGGATCACCATCCAGGGCTCCTGTGGACACGCAGGCTCACGGGGACCAGGGGAGCGGGATCTCAAGCCCGCCTTGCTCCGGGGTGGGGAGGGCAGGGGCTTGGTGCCCACCACCTGCAAGCCAGACGTACCTGGGAAGCCCCGTGGCTCCCAGGTGCACAGAGCGTCACTGTGTGCCTCGGGACCCCATGTTCCTGCCTGCAGGCCACCTATGGGTGCCCGCTGAATGATTTAAACGTTTTACTTCGTCAAAATAACTTGTCATTTTTGCCCACGATCAGAACAGAGTTCAGCAGCCACAGCCATAGACAAGGAGACCCATCCCCGTAACCCCGTCCTGCACACTGCTGCATCTTGTGCACATCAAGGAGATGTGGACATCTTGTCCCGAAACAACCGCCAGTTTCCATGTAGTTTGTAGGAACCAAGACAGCCCGTGTGCCCCGTACCGCACGCCCGGAGCAAACGCCCATCGAAACCAGAATGTCGGGGTGCAGAGCCACTAAGCCACCGCCGGCCCCCGCCATCATGCCCCCGACTCCTCTGTCCTCCATTTCTGTAATGCTGTCATCTCGAGAACATCCCATAAACGGAATCTGACAGCACGGACTTGCTGGGATTGCCTCTTTTTCCTTCATTTCAATTCTCCAGAGCCCCACCCGGGTCATGACGTGTCTGTAATCTGCTCCTTCTCACCGCGGAGTCATGTCCCACGCAGCGGCCGCTGCCACTGTTCAGGCAGACGCCCCTCAGAGGACGTCTGGGTGTTCCTACATTCTGGCTTTCCGGCCAGAAAGCTACCAGGAACATTCACGTGCAGGGTCCTGCGTGGACACAGGCCTTCATTTCTCTGAGACACATGCCCAGGAGCACACGTGCTGAGTCACAGTGTGGTTGCATGTTCAGTTTTCTAAGAAACTGTCCCCGGGTTTTCCAGTGTGGTGGTCCCGTCCTCTGCTCCCAGTTGCTGAGTATGAGGGGCCCAGCTTCTCCGCCCTCGCCAGCGCTTGGTGGTGTCGCTGTGTCTTACTTGGGCCACTCTCCTAGACCTACAGGGACCTGTCATCGGGGTTAGAGTCACACTCCCCTAACGGCCAGTGAAGCTGAACGACATTTGTGGGCTCCCCAGTTACCTGCTCCTCATCTGCGATGAACTGTCCCTCCATGTCCTTGACCCGTTTCCTAACTGGAGCGTTGTTTTCTTCCTACTCTCTGTGTTCTAGTTCCCAGCGTTCGCTGGATGCGTGCCGGGCAAGTATTTCCTCCACAGCTCCCTTTTCACCTTCTCTACGGGGCTTTCCTCAGCATATGAGCGTCTCACTCAAAGTCTGATTCACTAAATTTCCTTTAGGGATGATGCTTTTGGCATCCACTCTATGAACCCTTGGCCTGGCCCTGGATCTGCATATTTTCTATCTTTTTCCCAGAGGACGGCTAGTTTTTCACATTCTGTTGACCTCCGTGGTCCATCCTGAGACGATCTGGTATCAGGCGTCAGGTTCCAGCTGAGGCTCGTTTTTGCTGGCAGTCTGTTTGCTGAGGACTGTCCTCCTTCTCCTGGGACACTTCCACTCCTGCTTCTGTGCGCGTCTATTTCTGGGATCTCTATCAGCTCTTACTTCTCAGATGCTTACAGAACTTGGCCCCGGCCCCAGACCCAGCTAGTTCCGCAGGCAGCTTGGCCCGTGCAGGAGGGCAGGTGGGTGTGACTTGCATGTCAGCGTGAAGAAGTGTCTGTGTGACTGGTTACGACTGTGTGAACACGTGGGGAAGGCATGTGCAAGTTCCTGAGGTCAGTGTGTGAGAAGTGAGTGTGTGTGAGCAGGTGTGAATACGTGTCCACTCCCACCAAGCTCCCACACTCCCCCACCGCCTCCGGGAGGAAGTCAGCGGCCCCTCCACATAGGGGAGTGCGCTAAGAGACCTCTCTTGCAAGGACACCTTTCGGTCACGCCAGCGACCCAATGAAGCAAGGCTGGGGACCACGGGGCGGCGGGGCTGATCAGCCTGGCCTGGCCTGGCTCTGGCCGGGGAATCAGCCAACATGACCGCATTGCCCAGATGGAAGGCTCTAGGGGGCAGCAAACAGCCATTTTTCCTGGAAGTCTGTGCTAGAACTTGGGCAGTTGGTGGGTCCACTCTGAGGGTCCAGGGGTCCCACCCGGGGAGGGGGCATTGTCCTCCCGCCACATCAAGATGCTGCTGTGAGAGATGCCCGACCCCCACCCTGGGACCACCCCTGAGACCCTGAGCATGAATCTCAGGACCAGACTCATCAGCACAGGGCCTGGAGGCAGGTGGGATTTGGGACCTGCCCCGGGCCCGGCCCAAGTCTGGGGACCACAGACCAGATGCTGTCCACGTGGAGCTCTGTCACCTGATACTGCATGGCCTCGAGGGAGTCACTGTACCTCTCCGAGCCGGGGTTTCCCCACCACGGCACATGGGCTCTCACACATACAGCTCTGTGCCCTCTGGCCTCAGTTTCCCCATCTGCACACATTGGACACCAGAGACTTCTGTCATCACCTGGGCACCATATTTGGAAGGACATGTGCTAAACCACACACACACAGAGTTATAAAGCCGAACTTGCTTCATTCAGTGTATTTGTTAACCAAAGATCCGAGTGCCCAACGGAGCCGCGTGTGGGGACAGCGGTCCGGGGGCGGATCTCCCTGGGGGTCGGAGTGGCGTCTCCTCTGTGAGATTCTGTCACTTTGAATTTCCTGCCTCTTGGCAAGTTTTTCTGATTTCTGTTTTTGGATGCTCTACAGGGAGTTTGCTGCTTTTATAATCAGAAAAATAAGCATGCTGTATATTAATTTTAAGAGGCTAGAAGAAAATACAAAACCTCGCAGTTGTTACCTTTGCGGGGGGAACAGGGTTTTGGGGAATATTTATATTCTTGACATTTTGGGTGTTTTCCCAATGTTCCACCATGAGTATAAATTCTTTTTTAAGGCAGAAGAATATGTAACACTTATACTAAAGAGGAAAAGAGAGAACACAGGGAGGGAGTTTACATATTTGTATATATGATATAGAATTAAATCCATACAATATCATCTACCTACGGGATTTATCTTTGGTTCTGGGATTATAAATAATACTTTTGTTTTTCTTTTTAAATTTTCTGCTTTTCTTAAGATTCCAGATTAATTAAATCAATATAATTAGAGGTTTAACAAATTGCCACCCACAGGAATGAGCACATCTTGGAAGCCTCAGAGTCCAGTAAACAGTCTGCCATGCACAGAAGGGTCCCCGCCGTGTGTGCCGGCGGCCCAGTGACCCCCTCATATTTCACAGTCCTCGGTGGTCTGGTTCCCGTCCTCTCCCTACTGCCTGGGGCCTGGGGAGGGGCTTCCAGCCCCCTCTTACCCCCTCAGCTCGGAAAAGGCCCGCCTAGAAGATTCTGCTCCAAAGCAACCGCAGGCAGAAGGGACACGCCCCCAACACACACACACCTCCCCTGCTGGTCCGGTGGGAGTGGCCCCAGGTGGACAGCACGCTGCGCTCACCTGCTCCTGCCGCACCACAAACAGGACGTCCTCTCCAGGCCGCACGGCCACGGCCTCGCCACGGATGCTGACCTGCAGGCCCCGGGGCCGCATGAGCGGACACTGCAGCTGCGCGGGGCTCTGCCGGGGGTCCACGCCACCCTCGCACACGTTGGACACCACCTTCCGGTACCTGTGGCCACAGGGAGGGTCAGGGTCTGCACCCATGGTGGGATGGTGGGGGGAGGGCACGGGCCCCACGGCCTGGCGGGGCCTCACTGGTGGCGAGGTGTGGCTCTCACTGGTGGCTTCCTCTGGCCTCCGGGCCTCCTCTTGGCCCCATCGAGGGCCATCGCTGCCCTGTGTCGCAGCTGAGAGGCCAGGCGTGGCGGGGGGGCAGCCAGCAAGGGTGGGGTCGGCTCCGGCGCTGGACGATTCCCTGTGTGGCCACAGGACTTGTGACAACCTCAACACCTGTTGTCGTTGCAGCCAAGGGTGTGACTGGGCACAGTCCTGATGCTGGGGCCTTGCTGAGAAGTGCACCCAAGAGAGGCCGGGGCTCGGCTGTGGCCTTGATGCTGCCGCACCCCCTCGGGGCTCCCTCCCTCACCATCTGGTTAGAGGACACCTGACCCAGTGCCTCCTTCATATAGCGTATTTGCTGGGGGACGGGCGGACCATATAGCCCCTGCCCTTGCAGGGCGGACTGCGCGGTGGGAGTGGCAGACTGTGCCACACTACCTCCCTCAAGGTAAAATCACCACCCATGAGCTCTGGGAACTGGTCCCCAAGAGAGCAGCTTTTGGCAGAAGTCGGAAGGGTGAGCAAGTCAGGGAAGGGCACCCAGGCAGCAGGACTGGCATGGGCAAAGGTCCTGGGATGGGCAGCTGGAGCCAGAGTAGAGAACAGGACTGGGAGGAGGCTGGACAGGGGTTGGGGGCCAGAGACCATGGGCTCTGATGAACATGTTAGGAGACCCCGGGCGAACCATGTCTAGAGTGGCATCACCTGACTTGCTGATTGTGAAGCTCCCTCGGGCTACACCAGGACCCTGGGTCCATAAAACTAGCATCATCACGGCCCAAGAGCCTGGCTCTGTCCCCCTCCCTGAGCCTGGTGCTCCCTCCTGCGCCCAGAACTCAACCACTGAGACACACATTCAGGGGTTTATCACACAAAACATTGGATTAATTCAGAAGAAAATAGAGTCTAGGAGCTACCCGCCCCCCCCACGGCGCCTTGATGCCCAGAATGTCATATGGTATGACACGCAATCCTTCATCCGTGATGTGGGCCCCGGCTCTGATACTTCTGCAAGAGTCCCTCCTTGCCAAGCCCTAGTGGGTGCACAAGAGAGGTGGCTGTGGCTGCTGACTGGACGGATGATGGGTGAATGATAGATGGAAGAGAGATGGATGGATGGATGGATAGAAGGGGAATGGATGGATGATGGATGGATGGGTAATGGGTGAATGTTGGATGGAAGGATAAAGGACGGAGGGAGGGAAGGATGAAGGGAGGGATGATGGGTGAATGATGGAAGGATGGATGGATGATGGGTTAAAGATGGATGGAATGTTGGATGGATGGATGGATGGATGGATGGTTGGATAGAGGGAGAGAGGGATGATGGGTGAATGATGGATAGATGGATGATGGGTTAGTAATGGATGGAATGTTGGATGGATAGATGGATGGATGGATGGATGATGGATGGAATGTTGAATAGATGGATGGATAGATGATGGGCGAATAACAGAAGGATGGATGGATGGAGGGAGGGAGGGATGATGGGTGAAGGATGGATGGAAGGAAGATGGGTAGATGGATCGATGGATGATAGAACTTATATTGCTAAGGCCAAAACCTACAACATCTGATCCTGCTTCCTCAAGTTCTGCCCCTGCCCCTTCCCCAGGGGAGGTAATGGGGATTTTGTAGTACGTCCACTAACATTTTCTTCCCTCCCAAAACTGCCTCAAAGTGAAACAGAGACCTTAAAGTAGAGTGCCTTGGGACCTCCTGAAGCCACAGGCTCACAGCTTCATGTACCCGACGCTTTCGTTCTCTGTTCAGAGCTATCTCAAAGCACCTTCTGTCCCTGATGCTGCCCATGTGGGTGCAGATAGAGCCCCTGCAGGGCCAGTGCCCAGGGTGACCCAGGGGCCCAGCCAATAGGGCAGCCTCGGCTGACCTCTCTTCCCGCAGCTCTGCCCCTGCAGCACCGCGAGGAGGCCGGGCCACACTCACCCGAGGCTGCTGCTGTAGGTCTGGCCCAGGACACAGTCGTCTGGTGGGGACAGGGGGTTAAACCAGAAGCTGGCAAAGCACTTGTTGGCCTCAGACTCCAAGGATGGGGAGCGCTCAAATCCGTAGTCGCTGGAGGAGAGGAGAAGGGTTCAGGAGACAGGCTTGGGTGGGGATGGGAGCGGTCACGGGCGGGTGGGGGTCCGCACCACAAGGGTCTGCAATACACCCATTTGTGGGGACACATAGCCCTACCCAGCCTGGAAATTAGGGTTACATTCCCGGTAAGAAGGGTTGCAGAGGGGGTTCTAGGAACATCCAGAAGAGCACTGAGCCCAGCCTACGTGTCCTGGAGGGCTGCCTGGAGGAGGTGCATTGAATCTCAAAGGAAGCACAGTGGACAGCCAGGGGAAGACAGGGGAGGAGCACTGCACAAGGAGCCCCGTCAATGCCGGTGAGGGAGGTACAGGTGGAGGTGTTAGGCACATGACGGGGAGCAGGAGAGCAAGGGTTGAGGGTGGCCAGGGAGGCAGGCGGCCAGAGTCTTCGTGAACCAGGCTCTGGAACTCGCAGAAGGGCTGGATGGGCACCGTTTGCGCCCGGGGACACCTCCCTGGTTCCTAGGGCCCTTCCCGCTGTGAGCGGGTCACTGTGGTGGGTGGGGGTCGCACGCCCTTGAGTTCCCCGTGCTCCTCCCGGGAACACAGCTGGGCTCCTGCCTGGCTCTAAGGCACAGAGTAAGGCGGGAGGACTGAGTCTCAGACCCGCAGCTACCAGGTCGTGAAGCTGCTCAGGGTTCCAGAGAGCCCGCCCAGCCCCTGGCGCATTCCTCACCAGAGGAAGTCCGACTCCTGGCACCTGCACACCCGGGACTCAAGCGCCGACGTGAAGCTCCGCCCCTTGATGCACCAGGATGTGGACTTTCTCTTCCGGAAACTTCTCTGCTGGCCCATGATGCAGCGGTCGCCCTGCCATGGGAACGCGGGGTGAGGACCGGCCAAGAAGGGCCATTGCCCTCCAGTGGCTTGGACTACTGTTCATGCCCGTCCCCAGAAAACAGCTGAGTCTCAACACCCAGGCAGCCATGGGGGACAGGGGTGAGTTTCCTTTCCCAGATGGGGAAATTGAGGGCCAGAGCAGAAGTGGTGTGCCTGAGGTCAAGTGGGGGCAGCCTCTCTCCTATCCTGACCCGCAAGCATCCATTTAGCACCCATTATGTACACTCTTCCCCTGGGCCTGAGGGGTCACTGCGCTGCTGCCGCTTTAGCCCTTACCTATTTCACTTAGTGTGACTAGTCTACCTTTTGTTCTAGAAACATCTATGTGTTTGAGCTTATAGGGTGGGGATGCCCCAGACTGCCCCTTCCCCAGGGTGTTTGGTAATCTATGACACAGGCCCCGTGCTACCCACCCACCATGTCCCAAGTCCCGGACCCCAAGCACACTGGACTGCGCAGTGGGGTCACAGCCTGTGGCCCCGTGTCCCTGAACACTCAGAGCAACAGAGGCACCAAGAGAGGGCCAGAAAATCCAGCCGAAGGACTGCATATCTCAGGGCTGCTGGGGTTCTGGGGGCCTGTTGGAGGTGAGGCTCCCAGTGCCACGCAGGACGGGGGTGCACGGGCAGAGGAGGCCACCTCCTGCCCCAGCCCGGGCCCTGGGCCCCGGCCCACCTTCAGGTCGGTCAGGTCCCAGGAGCCATAGTCCTCCTCACTGCACTGCCTGGAGAATGAGGGCCGGAAGTCCACCTTCACCAGCTCCCAGTCGGAGCGGAAGCTGATGTGGCCGAAGACGCTGGGGAGGGAGGAAGAGGGAAGGGAAATCACCTTAGCCCGGCCCACGTCACAGTGGGAACCACTTCCCCTTGGGGCCTCGGGGTCCTCCGCTTGCGGGCCCAGTGACAGCTCTCCTGCACTCTCCCAGAGTCTCAGCCAGCACCGTACATAGCCGTCTACAGGCCTGTGTTCCTGGTGGTGGTGCCCCCAGTGTCCCCACAAGGGTCACACGCTGTCTGTGGCTCGCGGACGGCACAGGTGGAGGTCACCCCCACGGTTCCCCTCAGTGGACGAGGAAGTGGACACAGTCGTGTCAGGAGCCCAGGCCCCCCAGCGGCCGCCTGGGCCCCTCAGCGGCCATCCAGGCCCTTCTATGGCCTTCCACGGTCCTTCCTTCTGTTCCACCAAATGACAGGGGTCAGCTGGATGCAGGGTGCTTCTCTTGCCTCTGTTGGCATCACCACACCAGGTGTCTAACCCGCAGACACCCAGGCCGGTCTCACGGTGTGTGTGGGGGTGTCTGTCCACAGATACCGAGGTCACCGTGCCAGGGACATGAGCCATGGACACCTAACTCTGCAAAGCTGGGCCACAGGCTGTTTTTTCCAGGTGCAACCAGCCATCCAAGGAAAGGTAACAAGCCACCATAAGGGGTTACCATAGCAGGATGGGAAGACCCCCCAGCCTCGTGCTCACCTCCTGTTCATAATGTGGCCCCAGCCTTGGCGAGTGGAGAAAGCAGGGCAATGGCACACCATGGGTGCTCTTAAAAAGCCAGCTGTGTACGGGGTACCCATGGTGTGCTAGGGGTCCCTTCTATGCTGTCTGGTCTAATCCTCACCACAGCCTCGTGAGACGAGTCCACCCCTATTTCACAGAAAGGAAGACTGAGGCACAGAGAGGCTGAGTAACTTGCCCTAGATCACACAGCTTGCTTGGACCATTTCCTCTCCCTCAGCCTGTAGCAGTCACTTGCTGAGCACCTACCATGTATCCAGATCCCTTCCTTTCTTCAAGGACTGCTATTTCAGGGGCTCCAAAGATCACCACGGAAGAGGGGCCTAGCCTGCATTCCTTGGGTCCTTCCCCCGTCCAACCTGCCGCATTTGGGATATATCACCAGAGGCTGAGCATCTGGGTGGTGGAGGTGATACACCTTGTATTCGATCCCCTTCCAAGCAGGTTGACAGGGACAGGATACTTGGGGAAGGACAATCATGACCTGGAAGGATCCTAACCCCATTCTAGGATGGTAGGTGAGAAGTGTCTTGAGTATTTTCTTGGGGACCTGACGGCTGGTTCTGAAGGTCTGAGGCTGATATCGAAAAGTTTTGCTCTCACAGGGCAGCCCTGTGCGGGGCAGGCCTGGATCAATGCCCCATTTCCTGCATCTGTGACCTTGGGTAGGTTCATTCTCTCTGTGTACCCATTTCCTTGGCTTTAGACTGGAGACCGTAGCTCTGGCCTTTCAGGACTGCTGGTGGATTGGCAATGGTTTGTGTGGTACGCAGGCACACACCAAGGGCTTCACCCACATGCACATGAAGCAATTCCTCTGCTCCCCAAAACAGGCCTTGAAGTAGATACTACTGTCTTTATTTTGCAGATGAAAGCCCCCAGCTCTGCAGGCTGGCCGCGGACCTCCTCGGGTCCTTGAGGCCCCTGAGCCTCCCTTTGTCCCAGCCTTGACCTGCCCCTATGGTCAGCCTTGTCTCCCATCTCCTGAACAAAGCCTGCTAGGCTTTACGGAAACAGAGTGTGGGGATCCTATCTCAATAGGGACACTCTCTATGGAGCACTCATGGCGCCCCCTGATGCCGAGTGGGCCTGTCTCCCTCCTGAAAACCACGTTATCCTGAGAACAGCAAGTGCACATCGGACGTGTGCTGACATGACCTACTGACCGCGTGCGAGGCGCTGGCTCAGCGTCTCATCTTCTCCTTTCCCAAACTGAGGAATATACTGCTGTCATTCCCACTTTACAGACAAGGAAACTGAGGCTGGCAAGGGACCTGCTGGGGATGGCGCAGCCAAGGCCACTGCCCGGAGGAGCGCTGTCAGCCGCTGGGGCTGGGGCGAGGTGCTGGGGAAGCACGGTTAGTGCTGGCGGGGCGAGACCGTCACAGAGCATTGTCCCCGGCCGGGAAAGTCTCAGCCTCACTGTGCTCCCACCCTGATCCCAAAGAGGCTGGTTGGGTTGATCTCCATAGTCAGCTCCAGGCAGGGCTCCCAGAGCCGCAGCTGAAACGCAGAAATATCTGTCACCCGGTTCATTCTGAGTTTTAGGATGAACAAGCCCAAGGCAGCCCGTGAATTGCCTCACGGTTAATAGGAGAGAAGGGGCCACGTGGGGCAATGTGGGCCAGGAGCACCCCCCGCCGCCCTGTAAACAGCCCCCACCCCCGGCCCTGGGCGTGGCACGGGGAGGGGTGGGTGGGCAATGGGGAGCCAGCTGGGGGGGGGGGACACGTCCAGAAAGGCGGCAGTGGTGTGCAGCTGGGACATGAACTTTGGGTAGATCTGGGTAAAAAAGTCACCTGAGAAAATGTTCTCAACTGTAGGAAACAGGACAGCAGGGGAGAGACAGAGACATGGAGAGGGAGAGAGAGACGCAGAGATACAGAGAGGGAGAGAAGGAGCAAGGGCTCGGGGGAGGATGCCAGGTCCCAGCGAGGACGCTCCCACAGCCCAGAGACATACGAGTTTGCTCTCAGGTTCCCATGCGTTCCCTCTTGTGCCATATGACTGGCCCGTGTCAGCTGGCATTAGGAAAGCGTGTGGAGATGCTGCTCCGTGAGGGAGGAACCCTCCTCCTTAACAAGTTATAGCACCTGCCTGTGAATTTGGCCATTGGCATTCTGGGGATCAAACACTCTGTGGCCGAGAGACGAAAAATAGGGTTGTTTCTGTGACCAACCCCGGTCCTGGTGCTGTGACACGTGGGACCAGGGGCTTGGTGTCCTGAAGCACCAAGCCCTACGTTCTACAATCGAAAGTGTCCCCATTTCTCAGCTGGGGAAACTGAGGCCTCTGGCCTGGCAGGCTTGCCACCCTCAGCGCTGGCATTTCTGTGAGGCAGACACCAGCCTTCTCGTCACACCCCAGATGGAGAGCACTGCATTGGACCCCAGGCTGGAGCCCTCCCTCCGCTTCCCACACAGGCTGACACCTTGCTGCGGCCCTAGAAGGACCCACTCCCCCAACCCAGACCTGAGCCTGCGACAGCACAGATACGCGGGGCCACAGAGAACATATCACGTCCCCAGGCGGGGGCATGGAGGTGGCTGGGTGTTTGGGGAAGCACCCCAGCCAGGGTCTCCAGGACAGCATCACGGGGTCGCCTCCAGCTCCGGGGACCAGGCAGAGCTGAGGTGACAGGGGCCCCTTGCCTGCCACTCCCTCGGTGCCAAACTACTGAGATTTAAACACCTACAAAAGTGAGGTGAACGACACCTCCTTCCGTGGACATTTCTTATGAGGACAAAAGGACATGACGTAACAGGCAGCAGGTGCTCAGCAAGGCGTCCCCAGAGCCCTTGCCAAGGGGCCACACTGCTCAAGAGGCTGGGAGGGCACCACGCCACCTCTGTCCTGGTGACAGGAAAGGTCCTCCCTCCCACACCTCCCCCACCAACGAGGGTCACTGTATTGGATTTCCACCTGCCAGGAATTCAGAGTGCTGCCTACCCCAATCATCTCAAGCACCCAAGCGAGGAGCCCACACTCACTGCTTCCTGTACTGACCCATGCCATCCACAGCTCCCAGAAGCCTGGGACGTGGGCACAGAAGTGGGGTGGTCTGCAGTGGTCAGTGGTGTCCAGGCCCGTGCTCCCAGCCACACCCCCCAGGTAGCAGAGGAGCTCAGGGCTCCCTTCCCCCAGTCTCCCTGCTAACGGAGGGACAGCCTGGCCCTGCTCAGAGCGGAGGGAGACCCAGGCGGGGCGGACAGTACTGTCTGTGCTGGGCGGTTTTTTGCTATTTTGAGTCTAAGTTTGGGGGTTCATCTATGTAGGCCTCTGCAGGGCAGTGGAGGTCCAGCTTGGAGGCCCCCTGGAAGCTGGAGGGCACACAACATGCGAATTGTTCTCTAACCAGGCAATAAAGCCGGCCCGCCGCAGGGCACATGGCCCCCACAGGCTGCGCCCATGGGGACAGGGGTCCTGCTGCCGGCTTCTCTCCTGGCCAGGCCTGTTGGTTCCAGGAAACATGGATCCAGGCAGAGCAGATGGGCCGTCCAAATCCTAACGTGGGGGAAGCACTTGACTCCTTCCCCACCCACAGCCCATCCTTGAGCCTGTGTCTTATCCACCCCATCCCAGTTCAAGGTCAGCTGCCCCAAGATGCCCAAGACATGCCAGGCCCCAGCACGGCCCTTCCCCACCCCACCAGCTGGCCCTGGGACACTGGCATCGTTCACACTAGTGAGAAAGGGGGCCACTCTCTACTTAAATGTGACGTCTGCCCACTGGACAGCCAGCTCTGGGAGTCCTCGGGATCCTTGGTGCCCAGAACAGAGCGCGGCACATGGCGGGCCATGCTGGAAAGACTGGAGAAGTGCTGGCCTCCGTGGTCTCCGAGGTGCGGAGCTCAGGGGGCCGGTCAGCAGGAGGAGGTGCTACACTCCCCCCAACTCTCTGGGCCTTGGGGAAGCTTCAGCTCCGTCCACCCAGAGAAAGAGAACGCAAGGAGGCTGACTGCATGTAGTGAGTCAGTCTCGGTGGAGGCGCCCCGTCCACGACCCGCAGCCCCCAGCCCTGAGCGGAGCAGGGAAGGTTGCGGGGCCCTGCAAGAGCTTCCTGGGGCTGCCCCAACCATTTCCACAAACTGAGGGCCGTGAGTAACAGAAGCTTATTTTCTCCTCGTCCTGGAAGCCATGAATTTGAAACGTAGGTGTTCACAGTGTGGGGCCCCGTCCGCAGGCTCTAGGGGAGGGTCCCTCCTGCTTCTTCCAGCTCCCAGGGCTCCGGGCAGTCCTGGGATTATGGCCCCCATGCCCCGCCACCCAGTGTCTGTCTTGGGTCACTGTGTGCCCGTGGGTCTGTCTGCATCCCTCCCCCCAGTGTAGTGTGACCTCCTGACATCTGCAAAGACCCTGCTTCCAAATAAAGTCGCAGGTTCTGGGTCGCTGTGCGTTCTGGGGAACGTAGTCTCCCCAGGACAGGTGTCATCAGTAAAAGCAGGTTATGCCAAGCATGGCCAGGCATATAGAAAATCGGGGGGCTGTTAGAAATGCAGAGTCTCAGGCCCCACCCCAGTGCTTGGATCGACCTGAATAAGTCTCCAGGAGGGCAGTTGCCCTAGAAGAGACTTCCAGAGCTGGAGCCCCTCTCCCTGGCATCTGAGGGCGTGTGGAGGGCAGTCAAGCTCTGCTCTCTCATATCAGAACAGGGCTGCCCCAGCACCCCCTTCACCATGCCCAGAGCAGAGTTTGGCCCGGAGTAAGGTCTGGCACCCCCTGCAGGTTGGCAAAAGGCCTCAGAGCCCAGAGCTGCAGCCCCAGAGCCCAGCCTGCCCCTGGCCACAGCCTGGTTCCGCCCCACATGGGCCCATGTGTGTGTCGGGTCCTCCCTGTACAGTGGGCCTGGGAGCCCTTTGAGGTGCCAGGAGCTCATAATAATAATGGCAATGATGAGGATGATAGCTCCGAAGGCAGCTTAGAGCAGTGGACCGGAGCTGCCCTTGACCTGGTTCCAGCCCTCACCACCCAGGCGATCCTGGGCAGGGGACAGACGTCCCTGGGGGCGGGGCAGGCAGGGGACAGGGAGACAGGAGGAGGCAGGCGTGAGGTTAGAGAGGAGAGGAGGACGGGGAGGGAGGTGGGAAGGCCAGCGCTGAGCGCACCCCAGAGCAGTAAGGCCATCTGCCTGTCCCCTTCCCGTGGCACTCACGTCATGACCAGTGTCTCATCCCCTGGCTCACTCAGCAGCCCGTCCACGAACACAGAGGTGCTGGTGAAGTTGTGCGTGCTCCAGGTAAGGCCCTCATCCACGCTGAACCTGCAGAGAGTGGGGAATCACCACCGTAGGCAGGCGGGAGCACGGCCCCTGTCCCTGGATCCAGCCCTGCCTGAGCCCCAAGGCCAGCACTGCCCAGCTAAGGGGCTGTGGGATCACAGCAGCCACCCACCAGCACCAAGTGGCCTCCGCATCTCCTTAGTAACACTATGGCCAAGAAGTTCCACGCGTGTTGTCTGAGTACCAGGAAGCTGCTTTGCAGCCCGTGGATGGCAGTTATCAGGGTCTTGGAACATCCAGGACAGCCCCACGTGATGCCTGAGCCCAGCCCAGGGTTGCCAGGCTAGGGACAGAAGCTTACTACCTCCCAAAGCATTGTATCATGGTGTCATAAGCTTGCAGTGCAGAAAACTCTTTTTCAGACTAAAGTGATATTGACTTCCTGGAGCTCTCCCACCTCTGCCTTCTTTTTCTTCTTCTTCTTCTTCTTTTTTTTTAAAGATTTTATTTATTTACTTATTTGACAGATAGAATGAGGGACAGAGAGAGAGAGAGAGAGCATGAGGCAGGGGAGGCTCAGAGGGAGAAGCAGACTCCCTGCTGAGCAGGGAGCCCAATGTGGGACTCGATCCTGGGACTCCGGGATCATGACCTGAACTGAAGGCAGATGCTTAACCAATTGAGCCACCCAGGTGTCCTCTGACTTCTGAGTCCAGAGTTCACACCTGCCCTCAGTCCCCCACAAGCGCCCTTCAGAGGTCTGAAGCTGATCCAAACGCCCTCTCACCTGGGCACATTGGGCTGGCTTCCTTGCCTGGCCCTACCTCCTCCGCTTGACTAACTCATGTGGATGCTCACACGTCACCTCCTCTGGGAAGCCCTCCCTCCAGCCCCCCAGACCATGCTGCATTGCTATTCCCTGTTTCCCTGTGTCCCAGTGCCTGGCCCTGCCCCCACCCCCCATGCTGGGCCCCTGTGGCATTACTTGAGGATCTTCAAGGGGATGGAGGTGTCCTTGATAGCTGCAATCACGCCGCCATGGTCCAGGTAGAGGATGTGGTGCTCCTCCTCGAATACCTGCAGAGGGGGCGGGTGACACCCCGAGGGCAGGTCACTCTCTCTGGGGGCAGAGCTGTCAATGCACAGGCTGGGGGTCACCAGCAGATGCCAGCTCCCCAAGGCAGGGCTGGCCCGAGGGCTCCCTGCATCCCCCAGGCCCTCCACATGCTCTCCCACGCCATCCAGACTCCGTGCGTGAGGGATGATTGAATGAGACCACTGAGGCGAGAACGCTGGGAATAAACACCACAGGCAGCCTGGGCACAGGAAGGGCTCGCACACCAATACGGTGGATGGCATGAAGGCAAGAAAAAGATCAGGGAGTTTGGCAAACCTCTATTTGACAGTAATCCCCAGCAGATGTGCCACCTCCTCCAGGAAGCCCTCCCTGAAGCCAGGCTGGGCGGGGAGTGCCTCTGCGCCCCAAGCCAGGACACTTACTACACTGTTTGTCCTTGTCACCTCCAGCCAGGGAGCTCCTCCCAGGTGGGGCCTGCCTCTGGGTCCTCTTTATGGTCCAGCACAGCTCAGTTCAGAGGTGAGGGGGCCTGTGCTCAGGGAGCATGTGCGGGGATGAATGAATGAATGCGTAAGGGCATGAATGGATAAGTCATCACTAAGTCTCCAGGTGACAAAACTCAAGCGGCCCAGACAGGGCTCACATAGGAGGAGACACCTCTGGTGGCCTTGGGATCGGTGCTCCAGGTCCTCTCCATCTGGGTGCTGGAAACCAGAGACAGAGATGAACCTCTGGGCCCCAAGAATCCTGGGGTGCTGGGGGAAAACAGGCCAGAGGGACAGAGGCCCACCTGAGGAAACTGAATTCCCAAGCAGCCAGGCTTCTCTTCCAGGAGAGAGAGAGCTCCCTGTTCCAGGGACTATTCAAGGAGCCTCCTCTCTGGGAACCCCGGGCTGCCAGGCACAGCGGCAGAACCACGCTGGGTCCTCGGGTTGTGCTGGGCGCCCCTCACCGCAAACACAGCTGTCTCCCCGGGAGCACTGGTCCTGTCGCTCTGAACTTGCAGAAGCCTCTGCTGGCACCATGGGCACCCAGCTTCTTGCTCCATGGGGGGCCTACTCCACTTTCTTCCTGGGGTGCTCAGGCCGTGGAGCAGCGGGATGCGGTCATGAAACCACTATCTGTGGGTTCCCGGGGCCTGGCTGTCCCAGAGCAGGAGCAGCTTCTACCCCGGGCCCAGGCCTCATACCCACTGGTGCAACTCTGTGTATGCAAGCGGCTGGGGGCTCCTCCCCGGAGGACAGACAGCATTGACCATGTCCCCTCACCCCAAAGATGGGGGGTCTCCAAGCTACCCCGGACACCCCCAGAGCGACTCCACTCCCATAAGCCTGAGACTCTGCAAGAGGGGGCACGGGGGTCTGACCCCCAACCAACGGGGTCGTTCTGTGGCTCATCAGGCCCCGGCAGCAGGGCCCAGGGGCAGGGGGCCTCCCATCCCCATTTCTCCCCACTCCCTACCTCCCCGGGCTTCTGAATGTCTTCTGGTTTGTTTTTTGTTTTTTTTGGTTTTTTTTTTTTTTTTATCATCCTAGCAAACTTGTGTCTTCAAAAGCTTATGTCCATTGAGCAGTATATACGCAGTCATCTGTAATTCATATTCTGAAAGCTCTCCTCTCAGACACGTGTTATTACATCCTTCACAGTCTGCATGCGCCCAGTACGCTGTCCTGCCTTGGGTGACCGTCCCAGCCCATCCTCTGCCACCCCTCCCCACCGCCCCAGCTCCAAAACCCACGGAGCACCTCTCCTCTCCCCGGGCTCCGGCACCCCTGCCCCCACCCACGGAGGCCAGGCCCCTGCTCTGCCCCAACCAATCCCCACACTCCCAGATCATGGAATGCCAGCAAATGGCAGAATAGGGGCCACTGTGAACACCTTCCCCTCGTTTTCTCAAATATTCAGACACCTTGTCTGTTTTACCTGGCCTCCTCCATCTAATAGGGGGCACATTTCTTTAATAAATGGATGGATGGTGACCTTTCAGGAAGTTTAGGCATCTTTCACGGGCTTTCGTGAAATAGAAACATTCTAGCACAGTAAGTCTCTTGTGCCCTTTTCAGAATTCCTTGTTTCTTGCATATTATTAAAAATGTCAGGGCCTTACACCCAGGCTGCAGGTAAACAGGGTACCTTCGTGGTTAGCAGCTTCCCTGCTTTGTTGCTCTTCTCGGGCCCTGCTGTGACCTCGAATCATCCCCCCAGATGCCTTCCAGGCCCCCCAACCCAGACTCAGCAAGGGCCCCGGAGCCGGCCTCTCCCCCAGATTCTCCTTCTCTTCCACATCTCTGCTCTCCCCCAACAGCTGCCCCTGATGGGAACCTGGGGAGCACCACTGGCCCCTGCTTCCTCGCCTCTAGGCTCCCAGGAGAGCTCAGCCCCAGCCTCCAAGGGCCCATGTGGCATGTGCCAGGATCCCCTGGGCCCGGCATTTACTCCCATTGCTTAGAGCCTGATGGAAACGGGTCTGAGCGATCGAAGATTCGTGTCAGATCTCTAACTCCCCAGCAGGGGCTTATGCAGCAGACATGAACACCTGTTATGAGGAGCTCCCTGTCCAGCTGGGCAGGCTGGCTGCAGGCTGAAGACTCATGTCTTGGGACACATCTTGGGGAGGGGGGCAGGGAAACCACAGATCGGATGCATCAGCAGGGGTTCTCGGCAGAAAGTGTGTGTGGCGGGCACCAGGCCCCCGGCCTCCTTACCTGCCTCCAGGTATGGCCACAGTCCGACGTGATGTACATTTCTTCTTTATATTCCACCAGCTGGGAGCCCAGGTTACCTGGTCGGGAAGAACAGGGACAGGGTTGCCGTTAGGACCAGCGCACTTTTGGCCTCACTGAGGTCTGTGCCCAGACAAAGGCCCACGTGAGAGTCGAGTGTGTGCTAGGTCTACATCTCTCACACCCAAGCTGCCCGTGCACATGCTCTCCCTGCATTCTTTGTATGCTGACTAGCCTGTGGAACCACTGGGCTTGGGGCCTGCATCCCAGTCTGTGCAAGGAAGGATTAACATTGCAAGGAAAGCCAGTGTCGGGCTGGGCTGTGCTTCAGAGGTCCACGGGGAGTGAGGGGTTCAAAAACAACTATTGAGTGCGCCTGGGTGGCTCAGTGGGTTAAGCCTCTGCCTTCGGCTCAGGTCATGATCTCAGGGTTCTGGGATCGAGTCCCGCATCGGGCTCTCTGCTCCGCAGGGACCCTACTTCCCCCTCTCTCTCTGCCTGCCTCTCTGCCTACTTGTGATCTCTGTCTGTCAAATAAATAAATAAAATCTTTAAAAAAAAAAAAACAACAACAACAACTGTGGAGGGCCGATCAGGGAGCGGTGAAGAGGACGTGCTCCAGGTGGGCTGGTGTGGGGTCGTGGCGGTGCCTGACAGCCTTCACACTGGGTCAGGACACAGCTGGGTTTGCAGTTGGAGCCAGCTCCCTGGGGCGGCGGGGCGAGGTAGACCAGAAGTCCGGGGCAGCATGAGACGTACAGGTGAGAGGCAGGCTAAGCACCAAGGAATTACTCATTAAATATGTTCAGTGATATTTAGAGGAATGTGAGGTGGGCACCAAACCATCTATCCATAGTTCACTTAAGCCCAGTACTAGGCTGGCTGATGGGTCACCACCCTCAAGGCCACTCTCTAGACTCAGACTCAAATCCTGGGGTGGTATCAGAGTGGGAAGATGCCCAACTCAGTGTCCAAGCCAATCCCAGCCTACAAATAAGGACACTGAAGCCCTTTTGGATCCTAGCCTAGAGCCCCAGAGGCCTCTGTCCTGCATGACCTGTACATCACTGGCCATTTGCTGCATTGTTTATGGGGTACTCTCAGGAGCATCTTATCCAGAGTTGAGTTTGTATGTCTTTGGGAGGTTCCAAAGGAGATGGATTGTCCTCAAAGAGATGAGTGAATATGAGTTCTAAGCAGAGTGACAGTTTCTGTGCCTGTCACATTAGCTGAAGTCCAACCAACCACCAACGTGTCCATCCATCCAATCATTCATCCATCCATTCATCCATTATCTAACCATCCATCTATCCATTATCCATCCATTATCCACCCACCCATCTATCTATCCATCATCTGCCCATCCACCCTTCCATCCATTCATCATCTATCCATCCATCCATCCAACCATCCATCATCCATCCACCCATCATCTATCCATCCATCATTTATCCATCATCTATCCATCCATCCATCCATCATCTATCCATCCATCCATTCATCCATCATCTATCCATTCACCCATCCATCCATCCATCCATCATCTATCCAACCATCTACCCATCCATCCATTATCCATCCATCAATCATCCATCAATACATTCTTCATCCATCATCCACCAATGCATCCTTCATTATATTACCCATCCATCCACCCACCCATCATCCCTCCAACCCCACATTTCTCTTCTTCATCAATCCCACCCACTCGCCCATGCCTGCATTTGTTCAACACCATTTGCTGAGCACCTGCTCCTGCCCAGCCCCTGTGCTGAGCCACAGGGGTTCTGAACTGAATAAACCATAGCCCCAGCTCCTAGAGAGCTCTCAATCCAGCTGGGAAAGAAGTATGCCATGCAATTGCACACAGAGCAAGGATATCTGGAAGCCCATGGAATTGTGACAGCAGACAGGGGACAGCTAATGGGCCCAAGAAGGGAGGCCATCAAGAGGAAACTCCCGCAGGGAGTGACCTCCAAGTTGTGCCTGGAGAGACAAATACGTGCTGGCCAAGAGAGAAGGAAAGGGTGTGCCAGATGGAGGGAATGGCTGGGTTAATGGCATGGAGATGGGAAGGCTCACAGCAGAGGTGGGGGTGGAGGGGCGGGTGCTGAACCAGGTCCCCTCTCCCTGCCTGGCAAACCTACGGTGCTGAGAGATGGCCGTGAATGAGTGAAAGGAGCAAGTTGAATGAATGAATGAATGGAATGATGGGGTTGGGAAGGAAGGAGGGCTGCCCTTTATCTCCGCAGCACGGCAGATGCCAGCAGACACGCCGGGATACACACATGGCACACGGAGCTGCGCGGCGAATGTCGCAATGTCAAGACTCAGCAGGCGAGTTCCTGTGATTTTGTGGTGCAGATGTCTGTCTTCTAAGGGACGCTATCTGTTTTCCTTGCTCCGTCTACCAGAGCTGTCAGGCTGCCAGTCACCCAACAGGCACTGGGGGAAAATAAAGGGAAATCCAGAGAATGTGTCCCCAGGCTGTCAGAGCAGAAGGCCCTGAGCAACACGGAGGCGGTACACTCATTTTACAGATGGGGAAACTGAGCCCCAGGTGTGGGGCAAGGACGTGCGTAAAGGAGAAGCGGGGAGGCTGCCATGGGCTTGCCTCCTCTCTGTAGGGCCCGGCAGGTCAGGTGGGCTCCACAGTCTTAATGAGACTGAGCGTGGCGAGTGACCCCCTCCAGATCCGTGAGGCTTGCTTGGACAGCCAGGAAGCTCATTCTGGGTTTGTAAGGGCTTTGGGTGACAGAAACATTTAAAACTGTGCATTTGCCATTTTAGTCAAGAATCTGGGCATTCAGACCATCGGGATAGTGACTGTGAGGGGCTGAGAGGCAGGAGCGCCCTATGGGTGTCCCCTCCCCTGGGAGCCTGGGTTGGATTTCGGGCTTCCTGAGTGACACCTTGCAGGTGGGGCAGGGAATCCCTCTCCCCCCGCTCCCACCTGCTCTCCTGTAAAGAGAGGGGCAAAGCTCTCAGGGTTGGTGCAGTGATTAGGAGCTCAGTGCCTGGACGGAGGAAAGACCCGGTCACAACAACGTCTTGTCCTCCCTTCTATCCCATCAGTGGCCTGAGTGCTCCTACCCGCATCTAAGCAGAGGGAGCAGGTGGGGACTGTCTTAGGGCTAGGTGCAGGACAGCCCTTAACCTTGAACACAACAAGGAAAGAAAGATACCAGCCACTGACCAGCAATTTGTTTTAAAACACATGCTTTTAATTTTGAAAGATTCTCTGAAGTCAAACATAATTTTAGCTCATGTCCTATCTGTGCACACAGAGGCTCTAGTTTACCCATGATGACAGCCACAGGCACGACTTTGCTTTGATTTATTTTTTCCTCATGCTAGCTGTATGTGTCTCTCTCCTTGACTAAACTAGAACCTTCTTCAGGAATCAATACATGTCAGCCATGACTCAAATCATTCTCCCATCCATCCATCTCTCATTTGACCCATTCACCATTGTGTGATCCATCCCTCCACCTGGTCATCCAACTGTCCACTCTTTCTGCCCATCCCTTCACCTGTCCTCCACCGTTCATCCCTGCCCATCATTCTTTGTCGAAATAACTATCCATCCACCCATCCAACCATCCATCCACCCATCCATCCCACCTATCCATCCATCCATCCCACCATCCGTCCATCCAACCACCTATCCATCCATCCATCCATCCATCCATACATACATACATCCACCCATCCACCCATCCATCCATCCATCCATCCATCCAAACATCCATACATCCATCCATATGTCCAACCATCCACCCATCCCTCCAACTTCCATCCAACTTCCCACACAGCAACATGTATCACATGCCCACTGTGGGCCACATATTCATCCCTCGGAGTGTACCATGATTGCTGAGCTCCCTGGAGATGTTGCACCCCTGCCCCCCAGTCGACACAGCAAGGTCCCAGGCCCATGACCATCCAGTTTTCTCCTTGAGGACAGAGCTTCCCGAAGGCATTGATGGTAGCTCCTACCTGCACCCATGATGAGGCCCGGAGCAGTGTCTTTGGTGTGCACAGTGCCCGACACGTAGGGGTTGTCTGCCCATCGCAGGTGCAGGTGGAGGTGGCAGTCCGGCTGCAGGGGTAGGGAGAAAGGGGGCCAAGGTCAGCACTCGGGCCAAGATAAGGTAGGACTGAGGCATTTTGGGTGGGAAGGCAGGGCCAGGAGCCCATCGGAGGAGGGGATGGAGGCTCTGGAGTTGACCGCAGAGTGGAGACCATTGGGCCCAGGGGGACCAGTTGTGGATGAAGCCAGACAGGCTTCTCTAAGGGAGGGTTTCCCCAGCACGGGAGAGCATGCCCAACATGTATGGACATTCTCCAGTTGAGAAACACCATGGCACCGCGCACCCAGAGAATCAGCTTTTAACTTGGAGATGCTGCTGATTCTAGGGGCACCTCTGGGCCTTGGTCTCCTCATGGCAACTGGAAGGCAGAGGCGCCCACTGCATATACCGCCGAGGGTTCGGAGGCAATCCTGCACACCCCGCGGTCAGGACCACGTTCTGCCATCTGCTGATGTCTATCTGATAGATGCCTCTGGCCTTCCTTCTGTGTTTCATGATATGGTCTCCTGGCCCATGGACAGAGCACATTTTAGATAGTGCCAAGGGAAAAGCAAAACTATTTAATAAACTGGACATAGACCCAGAACTGATGGCATCAGGTGGTGGCCCCAGGGCCCAGTCCAGTCTCTATGAAGACGAGAAGCAGACTAGTGCCAGCTAGGGGTGGGGCATGGGGGGTCAGGAGGTGGCTGGGCATGGGGTTCAGGGATGTAGAGTGGGGGACATGGGTAGGGGTCGTAGGGTTGGGGGGTGGGTGGGTGGGTGTAGTTGGGGGACATGGGTGGGGGTTATGGGGTGGGTGGGTGTGGGATAGGGGAGCCCCTGCTACAGGTGAGCTCAGAGTCACTGAGTCCACGGAGGGGAGCCCTGTGCCCAGTCCAGGAGCACTTGGATCCACCAGGACAAACTCTCTCCACAAACCTGTGGGGTATGACTTTGTTTGGGTTTTCTCCTGACTTCTTACGACTGAAGAGCAGATTGATGAGTATCTGTGGTGAGACCATTCAATTCTCTTCCCCTCCCCACTCAGTGACCAAATACTAACAGGCAGGGAGATTCCTATGACCTCTGTGGGCAGGGCCAGCTCCCAGGGGATGGGGCACCCGTGACCTGTGGGCACAGCCGGCTCCCGTGCACAGGTACCCCGATACCTGTGACCTCTGTGGGCACAGCTGGCTAAAGGTAAAGGAGCCTCGCCAGGAACGAGGCAGAAAAGGGAGGTGGCCCAGCCCTGTCTTGCTGCCCTGGCTTCCTGGTGGGCCAGGTGAGGCCTGGAGCAGCCTGAGCTCCTGGGCTGTCCTCTTGGGACTGCCACCAGTTTTCCATGTCCCCTGAGGGGCTATGTGCTCGGTATCCCTGTGTGCATAGCGAGCAGAGCACAGCGGAGTGGCCTGTCTTGTAGATCCTGGCCCCTTCCCCTCCCCGCCTGCTGGGGGGCTGTCCGGCCCCAGGCACTTGTTTGGGCCAGAGGTAGAACCTCCTCAGGATTCCATATGGTCAGTTGTGGCCTGTAGGACGCTGGCAGGTGTGGGCAGAGCTGGGATCCCCTTTGGAGCCACATAGGGCCTGCTGGCCAAGTGTCTTCCAGCCAGTCCTGGGGCTGCTAGGGTGGCCTGCTAGTGTCTGACAGCTCGACACAGGCCTTAGGATCTGAGCCGCTGGAGGACCAGGAGGGGGCAGGGTGAGGCAGAACGAGGGGGGCTGAGCCCAGGGCACTGAGGCCCCCTGCAGTCAGGTGAGGGCTGTCAGAGAGGGGCCAAAGCGGGAGCCCCCAGGGGAGGCTGGTGTCACAGCTGAAAGTTCTGTCCTGAGAGGGGTGGGCCCAGGTTCCTGCTGGGCTTGTTGGGGGCGGGGGGTGTGAGTCAGGGCACACAAGAGAGGCCCACGATGCTCCCAGCGCCCCCTTCTTGGCTCCTTCCTGACAGCCCGCGTCTGAGAACGGCTGCAGAGCGAATGGGTTTTCATTCCGAATTAAGATGTCAACAGACTCAAACCACTTCCAAAGAGGATTCATGCCCCCGAAACAGATCCAGTCCCGACACTCATCCACGTCATGAGGTCCCGTGCCCAGAAGGACATCTGCCCCCATGGAGAGCCAGGCTGTGGCCCGGGAAGGTGCCGCTGGCCCAGAGTTCAGAGGAAGATGGAAGACATGTCACATGTGCGTGAGAGTCCCTGCGATGACCCTTGCAGCACAGAGAAGCTGAAGGGTGGTCAGGAATATACCCGATTACGGTTATTTCTGGGTGACCCAGGGACGCCTGCACCTTCTCTCCCTGTTTATACATTTCCATGTTCTGTAGTAAGCGGGAACCTCTTATCAGAGAAGCAAACCCTCCACTCCTGCAGAGGACGCATGGAGGACACAGACAAGAAACCCAGGCAAGTGGCCGGGCCTAGACCCCATCCTCTCTTGCCTGGAGGTCCCCAGGCTCTCCACAAGCTGATGGCACCGCACGCCCCACCAGCCGGCTCCCACTTGTGTTATTTTAAAGCAAGGACATGGATCTCAGGAACGTTATCTCCTCGCTGAGCTGCATAATTGCAGACAAGAATCTATTCTTAGCAAAAAAAACTTGCTTTGACAGATTAATATGGCTTAACTTGGCTGAGGACAATACGGAATTGAGACCTTCATAGCACTCCTGTTCTCCGCAGACTTTATACAAGCAGGAGGTAAGTACTTCTTCCCATAGGCTGACAGGTGCGACTCCCCACCTCCCCCTACCCCCGCCACCCCCCCATGGGTCTCAGCGGGAGGGGCTCATGCCAAGGCTGGGCGCAGGTCCCGGGGTGGGGGGTAAGGGGCAGCCCAGGCCTGGGCTCACAGAGCGAGGGCCGTCCCTGCCAGGCTGGGGCAGGGGTGCCTTGGGGCTCTCGGCTATCAGCATCCCAGAGTAGGAGGAAGACACGGATTCTGTCTGGATTGTGTCTGGTGGGCTGGGGGCCTACCATATCCAGAGGCCCTGCAGAGAGATCCAGGCAGGATCCTGGGAGGGCAGGGTTGGGCGTGCTAATGTATTCCCGACACCCAGAGCAGAGCCTCACACACAGTAGCTACCCATATAGCTTTGTTGAATGAATATCCCTATAAAACAGACACTGTCCTTTCTGTGGAGACAGAGACATGGCTGGGCTCAGGCATCCCCAGAGCATGGTCCCTACTTGCAAAGGAACTTATAGTTAAGGTCAGTGGAAAACAGAGAAGCAAGTACGCCCAGCGTAGGTTTTTCAGGGGAGGGGCTATCTGGGCAAGGTTTTCAGGCGTCAATAGGAGTCTGCTGGATGAAGGAAAAAGGAAAAGGCTTTCCAGGTTACAAGACAGCATGGGAAGGAGGGCAGTCCAAATGGGAATGGATGAGAGCTCCCCTGCCTGGTTGCTCTATGCAGCTCTAACACTGGACCCCACTCAGAGTGGTCCCCTGTGGGGGAAGGCCAAGTGCTGGTGCTGGTGGTGAACTCCCCGTGGAGCAGCCTGCCTCAAGCCAGGGTTCTTGGTGTTCCCTCTTGCCATCCTCACAGACACGGGCCTGCCTGCCATCCACACCTCCCAGGGACCAAGCTCCCCAGGGCAGTAAATGTACTGGGGCTGCCTCTACCGGTGTTCCTATGAGAGACCCCACAGGGATAGTAGGACCTGCCTGGAGCTCAGAGCATTTGGGCTGTGGCCCGGGTTGGCGGCTTATCTCAGTCCCTTCCCCCGCCCCCACACACAGGCACACATGCGCACACACACACAGGCAGAGTGCACTTCCTGGTCCTCCGTGCAGGCCCGTGGATTCTGCAGGTGTAACAGAGGCTTGCCGCTTGCTTGTCCGCTTGTGCTCGCCCTCTTGGCCCTCTGCCATCACCACGAGAGGGAGCCAGGGCTGGTCCCAGGAGGACGAAGAGGAGGCCAGATACAGGGAGCAGACCCCCTCCGACACTGGCCAACCCCCACATTGGTGAGGAACCCAGCCCAGACCTGGGATTGTCAGTTTGTTACGCAGCAACGTTGTGCCCGTGCTGACTGACACGCTTTCCCTCTCTGAGCCCCAGGGGATCCTTCTGTAAAGCAGGGGGTTTCACAGGAGCCTCTGCTGTGCCGGGAGATGTCTGCAGCCCCCGGCTCTCACACAGCCCTTCCAGAGGGCCCTACCTGAGCTGCCCCAGGGAAGGCGTGGGATGGGAGAGGCACTTACGGGCTCACAGTTGGTGGGTTTCCCGTTCATGTCCGTGCTCGGGGGCCTCAGGCGATCCCAGTCGCGGCCCTTGTTGTAGGTTATAAGTGTCACCACCTTCCCATTGGTCTTTTGGTTGGCCAGGAAGACCCCTTTCACCCCTCGGACCTGAAACAGCAGGATAAGAAGTGTCACACAAACGCATCCAGAGCTCCCACCACGGCTAGCTGCTTGCTCCAAGCCCTGCCCATGGGGCCATGTGTCACGCCGGCAAGAGTCCCAGAGCTGAGGCTGTCTGTGTACACTGTACACACGGGAGGTGAGTGGGGCTCAGGGAAGCCCATACCGTGACTCCAGAAGCCTGGGTGCTCCCATGACACAGCACTGTCCTCCCAGACCCAGACGCTGGGCCTCAGACAAGGAGCACAGCCCTGGTCCTGCCATGCCTGTGTGTCACAGTCACCCTGTCTACACTCCAGAGCTCTGGCTCCACAGCCCCCAAGCCCCTGCCTCCCTCCACGGGACCCACAGGGCCTGGGCCGTTGCTGTGGGTTCCCCTCCAGAATCGCTCAGCTCAGCCCCCTGCACGGAAATGCCAAGTAGTGAGGACACGAGGTGGGTGCTTACCCCCCTCACCCCCCACCCTGGCCAGGGGCTCGGGCTCACCTTGTCCCCTTTCTCAGGGTTTCCCAAGCACCTGTGCAGTGACCCAAAGACAGCCGACAGTCGGCTACGGAACGGCCAGCAAGAAAGGTCATATATCAGCAAACGCCTGTCGGTCAGCCTCCTGATCCCACAGAGGCAGCCTCTTCCTGAAAGTTCCTTGCACATGCACAGGGCCCTCAGGCCCATAGGCACCGAGACCCATCCAAGTGGCCTCCCGTGTCCCTGCGGCTGGGTCTTCTCTGTGGGCATCACGTCACTGCTTTTCAAGGTGAGCCCTTCTCAAGCCTTGACGAGCCAAAGAATTTACCCGAGGTCCGAGGCTGAGGGATCCGCTAACGTCAAGATCACGATGCACAGTTCTCCAGTGCCTTCTCTGTGGCGGGCCATCCAGGAGCTCCCCCAGCACCTGGGGCCAGTGCTCCCCCATGCCCAGTAGACAGGCCCACTGCAAATCCCCCACATGGGGAGAACACAGGTGATGGATGGAAAGATGGACAAGTGGAGGGTGGACACGCCTCCAGCAGCTGCCCTAACAGAGTAATATGGTTATAGTTCTGGAGGTCAGAAGTCTAGCATGGGTGTCTCCGGGGTCGCAGAGCTAGCTTGACCTGGAGGCTTCAGATGAGAATCGAGAATCAGGTCCTGGCCTTCCCCAGCTTCTGGAGGCCCCAAAGCTGGTGGGGCAGCATCTTTCTGGCCTGTTGTCCACGATCACACGGGTCTCTCTGATCCTCATTGTCTGCCCCCGTTCCGGGGCCCCTCTTGGTTACAGCGGGCCCCACCAACCCTAATCGCCCCCATTCATGTGCATCTATGCAGGACAGCACTGTAGGTGGGAAGGGCGTCTGCCCAGGAAGCTGGGGCGGGTCCCCGGGTGGAGACAGCCCAGGGCGTGGAGGACCACGGCCCTTTCTCCCACACAGGATGACCAGCTCCCAAAAGCAACATGCTCGCCACGGGCCCTGTCCAGGGTGGTATTCATGGCCGCGGCTGCTGAGGTAGAGTGTCACAAACTGGGGAACTAACCAGAAATCTCTTCTCTCACCCTCTGGAGGCCAGAAGGCCAAAATGGAGGAGTTACTCCAGGGTCCCCGGGGAAGACACTCCCTTGTCTCTTCTAGCTTCTGGCGGCTCCACATGCCCTGGGCTTCTGTCCTTGTCTCTCCAACCTCTCCTCCCCTCCCCCGTCTTCACGTGGCCGCCTCCCTGTGCCTGCGTCTCCTCCTCTGACCCCGAAGAATGCTTGTCATTGGATCTGGGGCCCAGTGGGGCCATCCAGCATGGTCTCATCCCAAGGTCCTTCACTTAATGACAACTGCAAAGACCTTTATTCCAGATATGGTCACGGTCACTGGTTCCAGGGCATGGCCATGTATCTGTAGGGCCCCATTCAGCCCCTGACAATGGCTGCCTCCACAACTGTGGCCGGGGCTCTTCACGGGCAGGTGCAAGAGTGGGGTCCCCTGAACCCCCTTCCTAACCTGAGTTCCAGCACAGAGCGCCCAAAAAAGGGCTGTCGTCCTGCCATGAACCCAGGGAGCACCACACTGAGATGTCAACTTAGGGCTCCAGACAGCCCGTGCCTCCTGGGCAGTATCGGCCTGGGATGGCTGGGACAAAGTGTTTCTTTCCAGACACACCATAGGAAGAACGTTTACCCTGACAATAACTGGCTCGTGTGCAGGACCTCACAAGCTAGATTCTGGGCCAGGTCCTTCCCATACAGTAGCTCAAATCCCCAGGGACTGGGAAAGCCGTGGAGCGCTCGCCAAGCACTGACTCGCACCAGACGCTGGTCTCCATGTTTGAGGAGAACTATGTCCTTGAAACTGCATGGAAGTCCTGGGGAAAGCACTACTGCCATCCTCATTTCTCAATGGGGAAACTGGAGCACAGAAACGTTAAGTCACCTGCCCAAGGTCACACAGCAAACACATGCCAGAACTGGGATTTGAACACAAGCAGTGTATCTCCAGAGTTGTGCTTGTAACCACCACCCATGACCCCTGTGAGCTGGATTTCAGAGAAGAGATGTCTCCTGGGAGCACACCCAGTGGGCGGGCAGCAGGTGTCCCCTTGGCACGTGGCCTCTGGTTCCTCATGTCTTCTTCCTTCGTGGTCTTTGTCCACAGATGTTCCCTGGTTTCCCAGCTGGCTAATTCCTGCTCCGCCTCGACTCGGTCTGCGCCCCCTCCTCCAGGAAGCACCGCCTGACTCCCACCCTGGGCTGGGCGATCACCTTTCACTGTGTCCCCTGGGTCCTCCAGCAGAGAAGTGAACCCTGACCATCAGCTCTCGTTGTAAACAAATGATGACATTCATTACTTTTTTGGGGAAAATGGTTCCCTGCTGCTTGTGAACAGCTTGGAGGCGAAGCCTAGAATCCTGCGTCTCTCCGGGAGGCTGCCTCCTATGCTGATGAGCCCCGCTGTCTGCCCCAGGCTCCGCTCTCACCCATGCACCCACAGACACCCCAGCACCACTGTGATCAGGGCACTTGCTGAGGTTCCCACAGGCAGGGGATCACTGAAGGCAAGGCCTGAGGGGAGAGCATAAAGGTGGAGGACAGAGCTGGGGAGGGCTGGCTAAGAGTCTGGAACCAAGTTCGGTGGGGACAGGCCTGGGCTGGTTCTGGTTTCCTTGCTTGGTTTCCTGGGTCTATCCAGGCAGGTCGCTTACCTTTTCTGAGCTTTAGGCTCCTGACCCGGAAATGGGCCGAGCAGCCCCTCCCTGGCCCTGGTGTGGACCAGGACAGAGGAGGGGACTACGAGAGCCCAGTGCAGGTGGGGCCCGGGGTCATGGATATCTGTGGAATCCAAGTACAGAGCGAGATGGTGCAGGGGGGCCTGGGAGCCAAGAGACCTGCGTCCACCAAGAGCAAGCATGAGCTTCCGTGGGAGACAACCGAGGCAGGGAGGAGTGCAGGGGGAGAGGTGGAGAGGCAGGGATGCTCAGAGTTGTCGCCTCTGTCCCTCAGGCCAAACTGTGCCACGCCCACTTTCATGCCTCGGAGCTTGTGCTCGTGTCCAGGACGAGGACCGCGAACGCGGATCCCCAAATCACCAAAACAGTACTCCCCAAAGACTCTTCTCCACGGTAGATCTGTATCACAGAGAAACCCCACTCCGGTACTGAATTGCACAGTCATCAAGGAGACAAAGTCTCTCTTGCCTGCAAAGCCTCAGATAGCTGTGCTTTCTGGAAACGTTCGCAGAGACAGCACATGAGGGATGGGGCTGCACTGGGGAGGAGGGAAGGTGAGAGGAGGGAGCGAGGACAGGGTGAGGCCCAGCCCCACACCCAACGCCTGCTGGGATCCCCACATCAGTCCCTGGGCCCCACCTCGAGGATGTCGATGACCACGCTGTCCTCCGCCTGCCGGGAACTGCGCACATCCTCCAGGACCAGTGCGTAGTGCACGCCACGTGGGTCCGACTGGTACAGGTTGTAGGTGTCCGTCTGGTACCACTCCTGCACCGCCACGAACACCTGGCTCTCGTCCGTGCTGATGACCTGCAGGTCCTGCGGACACGGCGGGGAGAGTGCAGCGTCAGGGGCGGGAGGCTGAGCTCGAGGGGGCAGGGCAGGGCTCGGGCCTGGTGGGGGGGTTGGTCCTGGTTTTCTGGGAATCAGGTTGACCTCGATTTTCACCCTGCTTCTGCCTCAGCCTTGTGACCCAGGGCAGGTCCCCTGACCTCCCATTTCCCCCCCTGCAGCATGGGGGTGACATTCCAGCCCTCTGTACTGGGCTGGGGGATGGAGGGCCTGGGCATGGAGCAGGCACCCTGTGAGCTCATCCTCCCAGCCCCACGTCAGGCTGTCTGCCTGTCTGTCCTGCCTGTACAGAGGACTTCTCCCCCCATGCCCCCCAGTGGTCCCCCCCGGGGGGGCGGGGGCAGGGTCCCCCCCCCCCCCCCCCCCCCCCGGGGATCAGGCGAGTCCTCTGCTGGTACATTCACTCAGCACGCACTCATTAGGCACCTAATGTGTGCCAGGTACTGTACCAGGCACCAGGGCTCCACGGGGAGCCACAGGTAGGCTCTGCCCTTGGGAACATACCCTGGGGGTGGTGGGGAACCGGATTAAGTCACGCGTGTCCTCTCTAGGCTCGAGGCTCGGTTCCAGATTTAGTCAGAAGCAGAATAAAACCCAATGACATAAAAAGGAAGAAAAAGGAACCCAGGGCCGCCCTTGCTCCATTTGCCTTCTCTCTCCCAGCCAGCGCCTGGTGCTGCATGGGAGCCCCGGGGATAGACCAATTTTAAAGCCGTAACAAGCGTTTCCTCCAGCGTCTGTGACTCCCTTTCTATCACCCTGAAACTCCATTTGCTGAGCTGGCAGGGCAGCTGCGAGACAGGCACTGAGGGCAGGGATGAGGCTGGTCCTGCCAGCCAGCCCCTAAAGAGGAGAGGCACTCTCCTCCGGCCCTGCCCAGTTCAGGGCTGCGACCCTTTGGGGGGAATCCTCTGTCTGCGTCTTCACATCTAGTATTAGGGCAGGTGTGGACAGGCAGGCTCGGTTCTCTAACAATGCACCAAGTCTCTATTCTGTCCAGTGGGGCATGGCCTCCTGTGGAGGGAAGGACTGGCTGCCTGGGTGGGACCCTGTGCTGATAGCCCTGCCCCCCCACCCCCTGCCCAGCCACAATGCTGTGCCACCAAAAGCAGGGGCTTTGCAGAAGAAGGACTTGGTGGTGTGAAGCCCCAACCAGGCCCTTCCCACTCAGGGAGGAGCCCTGGCAGCACGAGCCGGCACCCTCTGTCTACGGACTTAAATCCAACACACAGAAATGACTGCAACCAAGAAGCTTGTCACCAGGGAACACTGGAGGTCAGGGCCACAGGGCTTGGCCGTCCCCACCCATGACAGGAGAGAGGAGAGTGGTGGGGAGTCCCAGCCAGGTCCCGTGGCACCTGGCACAAAAGCAAGCTGATCACTATCCTTCTCTACCCCCCCTCCCCTCCCGTTTCTCCGCTCTTGGCCACAGGGCAGGCTGCACCATGCCCACTGGGGTTTGGCCATCCTGCTGCCTCAGCAGGGGACAGTGCTCCATGGGCACAGGCTGGGTTTCCAGCTCAGACAGCGCCCACACCTAGCACACCACCAGCACTTACTGTCACGGCATGAATTCCAACACTTAACAAACGTCTACCTTGGGGCTTTCTGCCACGTGTGACTCACGTGTGCTATTCATGGACAGTCTGCCACCTATTCTCTCACGTGATATGGGGAACATGTCCCCCTCTCATTACAATTATGCACAAACACCATTTTTAATAGTGTATGCTATTCCATCTCCCGGTTGTGCTCGTGTCTTTGAACGATTTCCCCACTGCTGAGCCTTTAGCGTCTCCAACACGATGTTCAAAAAAAAAAAAAAAAAAAAAAAAAAAAAAACCAAAAAACAGTTACTAACGTTTCTAGACAGACGTCTCTGCCTCTCTGATCACGTCCCAGACATAAATTTTAAAGGAAATTGCTGTGTGGGCGAGTACGAGCACGTTTAAAGCTCTGCTTACATTGTTAAATGACCGTCCTGAGAGTTTCTATTCATTCCTGCCTAGCCAACACGGCTGGAGGGGGCCCACCGCACTTCCGGCCAATCGCAAGAATGGTTTTTTAAAAATCTTTGCTGATTAGAGAATAACGATAAATGGATAATAGAGAAGACATATATACATGTGGTGGTGGCTTACATTTGAATTTATGGAATTCGATCTCTGAAAGGGAAAGTCAGAAGCCAAAGATGTTTGTCGACTCCAATTTTAAACAAAGGACATGAAACAGATGTTCGTTTGTGTATTTGTGAATTCATGATGTGCATCTGTATATATAAATACATACATATGTGTCTGGATGGCCTGGAGAGATGCGTGGAAGGAAACACCAACGTTGCTGATACGTGTCATCAGGTAGAATCACGTTTGGTTGTTAGTAACAGAAACCGGAGAAAAGAAAAGTGGTTCAAACACAATAGCGCCTTCCCCCCACATGTAAGAGATGCCCAGAGGTGGACAGTCTGGTATGGAACCGCTACAAAGTCACCGGGAACAGAGGCTTCTTCTGGCTCATCATTCCACCACCCCATGGCATGGCCCTTGTCCAAGATAATGGTTAGACCTGTAGTCACCATGTGGACTTGCAAGCAAAAGGGAAGATGAGACAAAGCCTTGTCTTTTAAGGGGGGAGGGGCTCTGGGAAGTCTCTGATGGTGACTCCACATACGTCCGTGCCCGCTAAATGTCAGAGACTCCACTTCCGTCCATGCCAGCCAGATGTCAGGGACCTCCATTTCCATCCGTGTGCACCAGATGGGAGAGAACTTCACTTCTGTCCGTGTCCACCAAATGTTACAGACTCCACATCCGTCCGTGCCCGCCAGATGTCAGAGACCTCCACTTCCATCCATGCCTGCACATGGGAGAGACCGCCATTTCCATCCATGTGCACCAGATGGGAGAGAACTTCACTTCTGTCCATGCCCACCAAATGTTAGAGACTCCAGTTCCATCCATGCCAGCCAGATGTCAGAGACCTCCACTTGCGTCCATGCCCACCAGATGTCAGGGACCTCCGCTTCTGTCCATGCCCACCACATAGGAGAGACCACCACTTCTATCTGTGCATACAGCAAATCACCACCTTCTGCCTCTGAGGTTTCCAATGAATAATCTGCTGCTTTCCTCATTGAGGACCCTCATATGTGACGAGCTGCTTCTCTCTTGCTGCTCTCAAGATTCTTTCCTCGTCTTTCAGTGGTCTAATTACAATGCATCTTGGTGTGAAACGCATTGTGTTTCACTCCTTGGAGTTCATCAGGCTTTTTTTAGATATTTATATTTATCTTTCATTAATTTGGGGGAATTTGGGCCATTGCTCCTTTTAAAAAAATATTTTATTTATTTTCAGGGAGGGCAGGGAAATGAGAGGTAAACTCAAGTAGACTCTGTGCTGGGTGTGGAGCCTGATACAGGGCTGGATCCTATGACCCATGAGATCATGACTAAAGCCAAAATCAAGAGTCGTATGCCTAACCAACTGAGCCACCTAGGAGCACCGCCCCCCCATCCCCATTGTCTCCTGCCACCATCTGTCTCCTCTCTTTCTGGGATGCCCACAATGTATGTGTTGGTTTACTTGCTGGTGTCCCACTGGCCCCTCAGAGGGTGCTCATTTTGCTCAATCCATTTCACTTTCTGTCGCTTAGACTCCTTAATGTCAATGGTCCCACCTTCAAGTTCTCAGAGTCCTTCCTTCTGCTCAAGCCTACTTTTCAATCCACCTAGTCAATTTTGCTTTTGATCATTGCTTGTTTTAGCTACAGAATTTATTTTTGGTTCTTTTTTATGTGTCCAAACTATTTCTTAGTTATTTCTATTTTGGTCACTTGTACTTGGTTATCTTGACTTGCCTCATGGTTTTGTTTAGCTTTCTGAGCATCTGTAGGACAGTCATATTAAAGTCTTTGTCTGGTAGGTTCGCCATCTGGTCTTCTCAGGGACAGTTTCTGTTGCCTTTTCTCCTGTGATTGGATCGTATTTTCTTTTTATGCCTTATAATTTGTTGTTGAAAACTGGACACTGTAAATTGATAATGTGATAACTCTGGAAATCATGTTCTCTCCCTTCCCCAGGGTGTGTTGGTTTTTTGTTTCTGTATCAGGGATCAGGCGGAGGTAGAAAGTTACTTGAGCCTGAACTTTTCCCTGGGAATGCACGGTGACTTTGCTAAATTCCAACATACGACTTGTTGCTTTTGAATGTCGTGGTCCCTAAATGTCCAAGGGGTTGGGGAGTAGAAACAGGGTCTGGTCCTTTAAATCCCTTGGAAGCTGCTTTGGCTGGTGCGGGTGGTAACAATGGCTGTTTCCACCATGATATCTGCACTTCCATGACCAGAATAAGCCATCAACCCCCAATGCAGACCCCCGGTATTCAGAAAACAAGGTCCCCACAGCCACCCTGGATCCTGTAAGTAGTGTGCATGCTGCTCTGTGCCCATGAGCTCAGCTGCCTGCCATAAGGCTGAGGTTGGGGCATGGGCTCCTGCTATCATGGGAAGAGCTGAAACTGTGGAAATTAACTTTGATTTACTGTCCAAACATTCCCCTGGATACTGCAAGCCCCTGAATAGACTCCAGAGTTCTAAAACAGGTGATCTGAACAGATCCTGCAGCAGCCACTGTTGCCTAAGTGAGAAGTTGGGAGGCTGGCATTCTACCACCATCTGTGCTGTCCTGTCCTTCTTCATTACTTTTTTTTTTTTAAGATTAATTTATTTGGGAGAGAGAGAGCATGCACATGAGGACGGGCAGAGGGAGAGAGTCTTCCAGGCATACCCCCTGCTGAGTGGAGAGCCCAACACAGGGCTCAATCCTATGACCCGTGAGACCCTGACCCAAGCCAATGCCAAGATTCAACCAACTGAGCCACCCAGGTGCTCCTTCCTTCCTTCTTATGGTGTATGGGTTTCATTTTATTGTAGAAAGGTTATTACAAATAAAGGAATATCTTACTTTAAAGTAAACTTGCATGTACTCCATGCTTATGAATGATTTCATATAATCAAGGGTTCTCTGGATTTTTCCCCCTTGTCTGTTTACAGCCTTTGCCTATTTTTTTTTTTCTCTGTTAAGGAAGATGACATTAAAAAAAAAATCATTACAAGTAAGTAATTCAAGCAAAGGATGCTGGCAAATATAGTAAAACCTGTCCACCTTTTCCAGTTTCTGCAGACAGGTAAATTACAACAGTAGAATGGTACCAAATATGCCTTTTGAAGCAGAAGGAATGTTGGGAGAACCGACCCAACATGGAATCTGGTAAAGATCTGTTGACACCAGTCTGTTCTAACTTGGCCAGTAACAAGGTCCCCACCTTTCTTATAGTGCCAAGCTGTACAGATATTTAAATTTACCAAAGAACAATAAAATCTGATTAGGAAATTAAACTATCCAATTCTACAGGTTGTTGGCGGGAAACCCTGTGGTCTGGCCGCTCCCCTGAATTTGGGGGTGAGGAAGCAGATGGGCTGTGTAGCTGGGCAAAATGCTCAGCAAGATGAAACGTGGTCTCTGGGGGTGGGGAGAGCTCCCAAGAGCAGCCCAGCTCAGCCATCATCCCCCACTGCCTGTCATGGGTCCCGGGCTTGGCCCCAGAGGAGCACACTTAGGGCCCATGTGATCACCACGATCTGAATGGGTGCCTGGTCTTCCCTTGAAAGTGATGACATGGGGACTTGTAGGAGTCTCGCTCTTGCCACCCACTAATGATGCAAAGGCTGTGTCTTCCATCAGAGCCTCAAGATTCCTTTCAATGACCCCCGTGGTCCCCAGACCTGGAGACAAAGGAAGCTGGCAGGTCGCACGACCACTGAGGGGCCGCAGTGGGACACACACAGGGTGCTTTCTGCAAACCCCACAGGTGACTTGGAGAAACACACACTCCCACCTCAGCCCCTCCGCAGGCAAGGACTCTGAGGCCAGCACTTGAGGCCACAGAGGTTATGACTTGTGGCCGTCGGCTCCTCAGAATTCCTTCAGAAATGGCCTGGCTGCTGTTCCAGCTGCCCCAGTGCCAGGGGCCCCCATCCCCAACTCCAGGACATAGGGCCCAGGACACAGGTGCTTCTGATGCTGTGGCCCCCCCCAACCCCAGGATGGTGGCGGGGTTGGGGAGAAAAGCCCCACAAGCTGAAAGGGCCCTTCAACCCCAGGAATACCCATGCATTTGCCCTCCTTGGAACCATTAGCTTTCTATTTCCTGGCTCAGCCCAGCCTGGAGTTAATCTCTGCAACTTTCTTTCTTTCCTTCTTTTCCTTTCTTTTCCTCTTCCTTTCCTTTCTTTCCCTTTTTTCTTTCCTTCTTTCTTTCCCTTTCCTTCTTTTCTTTCCTTCCTTCCCTTCCATCTTTCCTTCCCTTCCTTTCTTTCTCTCCCTCCCTCTTGCTTTCTTTCTTTCCTTCCTTCCTTCTTTCCTTCCCATCCTATCTTCCTTTCTTTCTCTGCCTTCCTGACTCTTTCTTCCTTCCTTCCTTCCTTCCTTTTCTTTCCTTCCTTCCTTTTCTTTCTTTCTTTCTTTCTTTTTTCCTTCCTTCCTTCCTTCCCTCCTTCCTTCCTTCCTTCCCTTCCCATTCTATCCCATCTCCTTTTCTTTTTTATTTATTATTATTATTTTAAATTAAATTATTTTATTTTTTTATAAACATATAATGTATTTTTATCCCCAGGGGTACAGGTCTGTGAATTGCCAGGTTTACACACTTCATAGCACTCACCATAGCACATACCCTCCCCAGTGTCCATAACCCCACCCCCCTCTCCCGGCCCCCTTCCCCCAGCAACCACCCCTTTCCTTTTCTTAAGAATTTTTACAAAGTTTTCTTAAATTTTTAAAGAAAACCCACAAGTACTCTCCTTGTTCCTGGCTCAGGAGAGGTGTGCCCATGCCTGGTGCAGCCCAGCACAGGGGTGGGTGTGGTGGGCTTTTACAATAGTGCATGGCCCCTGGCCTTGCAGGGCCCAGAGCAAAGATTTCCTCTCTCCACCCCCACCTGCTGCTTTACAGCCAGGCTCCTTCCTGCCCCAGGCCCTTTGCACAAGCCCAGACCTCCACCTGCATAGCTTTTCTATAACCTTCCGACTTCAGAGGAAATGCTCCCTGGGGGACGTCCCCCCATCCCATTAGCCTTCGCCTCTGTCCCTCTATCCCTCACCAGGCAAAGTACAACCTGAGATCATGTCATATGTTTTTCTGTCTACTTGGTTTTCTGCCTGCTTCCTTGCTAGAAACCCCCCAAGGGCAGGAACCGGGGTATATGATCGACAGCTATTAGCCTCAGACCCTAGCATGCTTCCCAGCTTATATTTGATGCTCAATAAATATGTGGAGGAGGAAGGGCTGCTCCCATCTGTGCTTCTCAATCATAAGCACATAGGATGGAGGTCTGGGAAGTGGGCCATCCAAGGTCCTCTGGTGGGAGATGTGGTATGAGGCTGGTCTCAGACCAACTCTGGTTCCTTACTAGCTGTGTGACCCCATACAGGTTACTCAGCCTCTCTGAATGTCCATCACCTCCTTTGGGACCTGGGAACATCATTAGCAGGGAGGGCACTGTGGAGTTTGGTCCCAAGGCAGGCCTGGGGCAGGGTCTGGGCAACCCCCAGACCCCCTTCTCTGCCTGCCCAGCAAAGGGGAAAGAAATAAGATTAACTGAGCACCTACTAGGCACCGTTGCCAAATTGGGGTAGCTGGAATGCAGAGGTGAACAAAACAAGAACTGCCTCACACTTGCGAACTCCAGATGAAAGCGGGAGATGGATACAGGGGCTCACCAGCACCCAGAGCATCAGGAAGGAGGGGGACAGGGTGCAAGAGGGAAACTAAGGGCTGGACCAGCCTGAAGAGGCCCTCATAAGAGACATTTGAAACATCACATGTGCCGGGGTTTGGGGTAGAGGCGGACTGGGCTGAGGGGAGAGTGCAGCCAAGGCCTGATGACCGGATGGAGCCAGGCATGAGTCAGTGCAGGCTTGGGCGCTGGCCATGGGGTCAGGTGGGACGGGGAAACAAACTGTACCTTTGGCAGTGCGTACTTCGGCAGCTTCATCAGGACAAATTCACCGCGACGATAAGAGATGTAGTATTTGGTCCGGTTGGTTGAAGTTGCCTAATAGGAAAGAAAAACACCTTTTTAGGAAGCTGGGTTCCATTCAAGCCAGGTCTTCATGAATGAAAAACTAGAAATTGTATTTCAGCTGGTGAGAACACACTTTTACTTTGCTTAGACCTGCTCTGCCCAAAAATGGACAAACTCCTACTCACCCTTCAAAGCCCCACGCCAAACACCCCCCCCTTCTATTTCTCCGTTAGAACCAACCTCTGTCCCCATGCTCTCTTGGCACCCATTTCCCTATATCCATGTTATATAATAAGGTGGGGAAGTTCTCCTCCCCAGAAATTATCTTGGAGAGAGTACGCGGTGGAGGAAGAGACAGGCCAAAGTTAAGCTCAAGCCACAAAAACAACCATCAAGCTACGAGGCATGAGAATCAAAATGAGGGGTGACCCGTGCTGAGATGGTCCACATCGCAGCACTGTCCTGAGTGCCATTCCTCTGGACTCTGACAACCAGCCCCACAAACTGCGATCGCTTCTGTTGTAAAGAGAATATCGAGCACAGAGATGAGCTGCTTGTCTCCTGTGCGTGATCACAGACGGTGATCACGGTGCTCTCTCTTGAACAGGGCGAGGAGAAGAGAGTGGGAGGAGAGGGGTGAGGGCAGCATATGGGCTGGGAGAGGGCGGCCGCCCAGCAGGAAGACAATGGGTGACCTCTGCATCTCACCGTGTGTGTGCATGTGTGTGGGTGTGGGGACCACACGTGTGTGAGTGTGAACACATAACCTTGCACAAGTGTGTCTGCTGTGTGCAGGCACGTGGAGATGGACTCTATGCACAAGTGTGTGAGCCTGAGTCATGCGTGAGCACACACATGTACGTGTGTGCATACATGTGTGTGCGTGTACGTGTATGTACACACATGTGCGCAGCAACGCAGTGCCATGCTTAAGAGCCTGGGCCATCACGCATCACGGCCTGGGCTCAGGTTCCAGTGCCACGACCAGAGCCACGTGGCCTTGGAAGAGTCTCAGTTCCCCCCTTGTAAGTGGGGAGGACAAGAACAGAGGCAAAGCGATGGGGCAGTTGTGGGGATTAGCACCAGGGCATGAGGCCCCAGTAGGAACTTTTGTTACTACAAATCAACGAACTACCACAGGCCCACGGTGTGCAAAGCATCGTGATTACAAGGCTGACCAGATTTCTCTAGGCATTTCCATCCCAAGAGCAGGGGCTGTGAGGTCTGTGGTGGTCTGGCCTTCGGGGTCCCCTGAGCAGGCGGTGTCAGGATGGGGGAAGCACAGGGGTCCTGGAGCTCAGAGAGAGTACACTGGGGTGGGAGAGGCCAGGCAGACTTCCTGGAGGAGGGGGCACGCTGCTTCCTCAGAAGGAAGAGCCACGCAGCCCAGAGAAAGACCTGCTTAGCAGGTTAGGGAGGACACTGGAGAGGGTGGCTGACGAAGTCAGTGCCCCTTCTCAGAGCCCCATCCGCTGGCAGCTGAGGTCCTCGGATGGTGCAGAAGGGTTGGCAGCCCTCCCAGACTCAGCCTCGACAAGATCACATTCTCTGGGGAGTCCTGGGGGGATGCTCAGCCAGCCAGGGCCGGCCGGGCCCATTCCTGCCAGGAGCTAGGGGTGCAGGCAGCCGGTGGCACAGGAAGAAGGAGGCCAGCAAACCTTTCCCAAAAAGCCAGCCTTGCTATGGGCAGGCCACAGGCCTAGGGGGCTTGCGGTTCAGGCCTGAGGCTAGAGGAGGGATGAGCAGAAACACCGCCATCCCTGAGATGCAAATGTGACCTGTGCCTGGGGAGCGGGTCGCACTGAACACAGCAACCCCTTCACTGGGGAGCCGGCCTGCATGGCACTCGCCTCTCGAGAACCACCAACCTCCTACTGGGCCACTGACCAGTAGGAGCAGGCCGAGAAGGCTGACCCGTGGCACTGCTTCCCTGAGCGGCAGGTCCTCTGCCAGACCCCACAGGGCCTCTCCCCTGTCGGGAATGCAGCTGGCATCCATCTGGGCCTCTGGGCGGCCAGGACCAGTCAGGCCCATTTGATAGGTCAGCACAGCAAGGCTCAGAGGCAGAATGATGCCTCTTCCCAAAGCCAGCAGGGGGCACCTGTAGAGTCAGACCCTCACTTATGTCACCCTTGTTCCCCGAGGCCCAGACCCTTCTTTCTGGAGGCTAAGGTCCCGTCCCCGGCCCACAGCATGGCTTTAGCAAACGAACCAGCATCACGAGCTGCTCGGTGCCTTGGCTGGGGGCCCGGGAAGTGAACCTTTACGTTCATCACACGTTTCGTTGGTGGGGGGAGTGGCGGGAGGGGCCAGTGGGCTCTGTGCCGGGGTCCTCCAAGGACCAGGAAGGAGGGGAGGGGAGGAGGGCAGGCAGAGGCAGGACTGGTCCCAGGGCTGACCGTGGGCTCCAGGGAACCCGCCAAGGTAAGAGTCTGCAGGGGGGGCAGCCCCTGGGTGAACTCTGAGCCGGGCCGCAGGAACAACTTTTCTGGGCAATTGTTGAGAAAGCTGGGAACCAACTGAGGACAGGAGTCTGATGGACACCCGCAGCCCTGATGGCACGAGTTGGGGCTGGGGGCAGCCTGCATTCACAGGGTAGGGCTTGTCCAAGGTCAGACCAGGCCACTGTGGCCGTGAGGATGGTGACAAAGCCAAGCACAAATGACACCCCCGTCTGAGCACACACAGGGCAAACCCCAGCAATGACCAGGCGCCCGTCCCAGCAGCAGTGAGCGGGGCCACGTCCTATCCCACTCTGTCTGTGACCTTGGCGAGCCTGGCTCCTTCCAGATTAGACTTACCAGATGCCCAATCACAGAGTGCCCTGTGGCCTTGCATGTGCCCCATCTCTCCCCACGCTTCACCCTATAGTCAGGCCTCTGACCAAGTGACCCCCAGCTCCCCCGCACACATCCTCCCTCTAAGTATGTACATAGAGCTCATGCCCTGAATATAGAGACTAATGTAGACAATAGAGGATGACACCTGTGGCCTGGCTATGACCAAGGAAGGCAAAGGACTAGCTGTACCAGTGGACCTGAAGGAGATAGAGGTGGAAGTCAGGGAAGGCTCCCTGGAGGAGGTGGCATGTGAGTAAGCCTTGGCAGCACAGGTGGAGAAAGAGACATGGGCATTTGAGGGACAGGGACCAGAGTATGTAATCACACAGAAGAGACTGGAAATCATGGGACATCAGAGAGGCCAAAGAAGAACAGGGACAAGATCTTCTTGGCTGGCCTGCTCTAATGGGCTGTGAAGCCCCTGCCAGTTTCCCAGGAGGTCCTGGTGTATTCTGCAGGTGGACAGGGCAGCTGGGGTAATAGAACAGCCCTAAGGGCCAAGGAGGGGCTAGGAGTGGTGTGGAGCCTTCTCCATAGGAGCTTTTGGACTTGTCTCACGGGGTCCCAGAGGGCAGGACAGGGGCCCCCGACAGAAACAAAGGAAACATTCTGTCTCAGTGTCAGAATGAACTTTCTAAAGATCCGAGCTCTCCAGGAGAGTGCGGGCTTTTGGGAAGGAGTGAGTGAGCTCCTCATCCGTGGAAGTCATCAAGAAGTGGTGTGAGCAGCTATTCACTGGGGTTTCCGAATGGTCAGACCCTGTGTCTTTTACGGGTGGTCCCAACTGGGACCTGAGGACCTGTGTGCACAGGCAGCAGGGTCCTGGGTATGGGCTCTGTCCAGCTGCTACCTGGCCACCGAGGGCAATGACCAGAGACAGTCCCTATCAGTTCCAAAGTCAGTGAAACCAAATGGAGCAAACTGGGCTCGGGCTCGGGGACTCTGAGCTAGGGGAGGTCCCTCCCTGCCTCGAGGTGGTGGGTTTGCCAGCCTTGCAGGTGACCTGTGGCCACCATGCCCCGGGCGGGGGAAAACACCAACAAATCAGCGCTTAAAAGTCAAACAGCGAGTTCCGCTTCCCCTGTGTGGCTCGCCCTCCCGACTGCCCACTGCCCATCCCGAGGGGCCCAGAAGCAGCCTGACCTTGAAGAAGATGTAATTGTCCTGCACGGTCAGAGAGCCTTGGTCGATGGGGCCGGGGAACGGAGCCGTCAGAGTCTTCTCGGAGCAGTTGTGGATCTGGCAGGTGACGTAGCGAAACCCTGCAGGTGATGAGAGCCAGCACACACGTGAATCTCACGCACTCTGGCTCTGGCCGCAGGAGGAGCCCGGCAGCCTCAGACACCGAGAAACACAGGCCCGCTCTGGCCTTGGCCGGATCCTGCTGTGGGGCTGAGGCTCAAAGGACCCGCCCTGGGATGGCACCTGCCACCGATCTGTGGCGGTGACGTGCCAGGAGCACTCAGCGGAGGCTCTGTGAATCATCGGGATGGCCCTACTGTGGTCCCATCCTCTGGATGGTGAAACTAAGGCGAGAGAGGTCAGGTAACGTGCCTACAGCAGGGTCGCCTGGCCAGCCGCCAGTTGCTTGTAAACAGAGGTTCACGGGCACACAGCTGTGCCTGCTGCTCTGGGGATCGGGGACAGTCGCTCTCCTGCGGCAATGGCAGAGGCCTCCACGCTGGAAGCATCCAGCAGCTGGCCCTTGATGGGGAAGGTCTGCGGACCCTGGGCCCAAGTTGTGCCAGTGAGAGCCGGGATGTGAGCAGAGGACCCCGTCCCCCTTCAGCTCGCTCTCATCTCAGATCTCACATCTCATCTCATCTCATACGCAGGCTCTGTCATGCTTGGAGAGGGACCTCTGACGGACCCAGGCAGACTGTGGGCGGGACACTAACTTCAGAGGAACACTTCCATCCCTTTGCAAGTATTTATAGCCAGGCAAAACGGAACGCACACTTCCCAGGCGGCCACTGTTTTTACTTCAAGCCCTGTTTTTCCAGGGTTTGGGAGATCCAGAGAAACTGTGCCAGGTCGGGGGTGAGCCTACATGCCACAGCAAGCGACCCCTCCCAGCTTGCAGGCCCGCAGCAGGGTTTAACCCTGGGCACCGAAGGGAGCCCACAAAGGCACTCCAGGTCGTCAGCACCTTCGGAGCACGTCCTGTCCACGGCCCTGGATGGCTGCACAGTGCGGACAGTGCCCAGGGGCCGCCTCAGGGTGAGAAGACCCACGCCCTTGTTCAGGGGCCGGATAATCTCCGTCTCGGGTGCTCTGCGGTAAAACGACTTGGTGAAGATCTAGGGAGAGCGGCATGCAGGGGGCCTACGGTCAGCACGGCCGCGCCACTGCCCACTCACACCTGAACCCTGGCCACCTCCCTGACAAACAGCCTGGCCACTCCTGGCGTTCAGCATGGACTCTCCTGTCCTGGGCTCGCCTGCTGGGCACGCAGTGGGCAGACTCGCCCAGGCCTGATTCAAGGTCAACCATCTGCTCACGCACCTGTTCACCGGCTCACCCACTCACTCGGTCGTTCACTCACTCACTCATTCGTTCATTTACTCACTCATTCATTCACCCACTCATTCATTCATCCACCCACTCATTCATTCATCCACCCAC